TTTGTATCTCTACTTCAATTTTCAAAGCTTTAGCCAATTTCTTTTGTATATCCCATAGAAAGTCCTTATTTGGGCCATTCTCTAGGCTTGTCATTTTCACATTAGTTGTCTTATAATCCCCTTTTTATTAGCCAGTATTTCTGGCTCTCATATTTCTGCATCAGGCAAAATTTGTTTCATATGTGTAATTCCTTAAGATCTTACTTCAAAATGATATTGCTAACATATTAGCTACTAATTTTTGGCCTTATTCTTTCAAAATCTCCTGAAGTATTTCAAATGTTGTAATGCTTTGTATCATTTTGTAAATCCCTGTATTAACCAAAACTAAAGACGTGTTTATACTTCCCGATCCACTTTTCCTTTCTTGTCTGGAGTCTTCAGTTCCCTTAGTGCAGTGGTTCTCAACCTTTTTAATGCCGCAACCCCCAACCGGTCGTAAGTTGAGGACTACCCAACTGGTCGTAAGTCGAGGACTACCCAACTGGTCGTAAGTCAAGGACTTTCCCTGCCTGGGAGCGCCGCGCATGTGTGGTGCCATCCCCTGCGCCAGCCGAGGTGTAGGTGGCAAGGGGCAGCGATGGTGCAGGGCGACCACCAGCTGGGCCACCAGCTGGCCCAGCCCAAGGGAGGTAAGGCACCCGCCGGGCCCCACATGCGCCAGCAACCCTCCCTGCGCTCACCAGCCTTCCACCTCCCACCCCTGGCTCTCTTTTACTTACATTTTTAGTAGTTGCTCAGCAGGGAGGGGTGGAAACTCCCAGACAGCTCACCTTCGCTGCAGACAACTTGTAGCACCGTTTGCAGACTGGGGCTTTTGGCGGGCTCAGCAGGGCAGAGACAGCCTGGATAATTCCTATTGGCTTTTGAAAGCCAATAGACTTAGACTCTATTCAAGAGAGTCTATTCTATTGGCTTTCAAAAGCCAATAGAATAAAAGGGAGTAGCACACAGCTAAGGAAAAGGGGAAAAAATGGCGGACTGCGTTGTTTGGCGACCCCCGTGAAATGGTCGTTCGACCCCAAATGGGGTCGTGACCCACAGGTTGAGAACCGCTGCCTTAGTGTCCAATTTCTGAAATCATAAAGTCTAAAACCTGCATTATGAATTAAGACAAAACAATTTCCTCCCCCCCCCCAAAATCTGCTTGTTTTGTAAAATTATTTCCAAAATCTTATAATACTCACAATATTCCAAATTTATCTGGACTCTTAATTCTTTTACAACTTTCTTATATCAAAGTCTTTTTTTTGGCTTTTGCCATTTATTTCCACTTCTTTAAATTCTTAACTTATGGTTATTTTTTCTTTTGTTCAAGAATGATGGTAAATTTTCCAGGTGGCTTTTCAAACCTGTCATTCCAAAATTTTAGTAGCCTTAAGATAGTTAAATGGGCAAATCTGAAAGTGATCAGAAAGTGATCCCAGTGTCTTTTAAAAGGGAATACTGTAGTGGTGAGCTTGATGGCTGATCTCTTTATCTGCTGGAGCTCAAACCCATTGGAGACTGCTATCTTGTAGTCTTCTCACGAGGAACATCCATCCAAAGCACATATAAGTAATCTACCATCCTATCCTTGTCTGAAGAATTGCAGAGAACTTGTCTACTAACCAGTTCTTCAGTCTTTGCTATGGTCATCATCTCTGCTTGTGGAGATTTGCTCAATTCATTGTGCCTCCTTTGGAAGTCAGTATCTTTGATACTTAGATAAAATCTTTAAACAGATAATGAATCTAAAGTTTCCAGATTTAAATCATGCTTTAATTTTAGGATTGAGGAATGTTTTCCCTATATTTGTTTTATGTTAATTACAAAAAAGGAATAAATTGTATTTTCAATTTTAGATGTTCACTGAAATGAAAAGATACAATTTAATTAACTGCAATTGGATTTGTTCCTGGAAATAAATTGCAAATGTAGTTGAACATTTTATAATAACATGTTAGGATTGAAAAGGACCATTGACTATACTTTTTTTCAATGCAAGAAGCCAAATGTAAACCATCCCCAACATATAGTTGCTACTTCTACTTGTTCATATCTAGCTATTATTTATTTGGAAACTGTTGTGATATTTCTGTTGATAGGAAAAATAATCTGTAGCTTGAGCGATAGAGTGGCCTGTATGGATCATATCAGTGGCCGGGTATACTCTATGTCAAGCTGTTATTACTCTGGAAGGATTATTATCAGTAGGACTATTAACTCTGATTCCTGTTATCAGCTAAACAGGGTTCCCCTAAATAATAAACATTGAATCCAAGGATTAATGGGACCTTCCAAGGGGTTGATATTGTTATTATTATTCATAGTACTGTTAGTTAAAGTAGTGTTCATTAAATTATTTTCATATAATAAATGATTTTGGAGGGATCAGTGAACAGTTTAAAATTTTATGAAGGGATCGATGAATTGAGTTTGGGGACCTTGATCTAAACATTTAAGAAACTATTGAATTCTGGGAATCTTCTTTTTGGGGGGGAGGGGGGAGAGACCTTTAATGGTTCTTAATCCCTGCAAGAAAAGGGATACTCTGAGACCAACCTTCCTAAGATGTTTGTTCTATGATGATAATTCTAGCTATTTTCTCACATCCCAGAACAAAGACTAGTGTGAAGATACACAAAGCCCTAGATTTTGATCCGGGCAAGCTTGAAAGAATCTCTTACTTGTCATGACCTGGCTTAGCTAGGACAATCTGAGCATGAAATTTACAGCAATGCCTTCAGATCCACCAGGTTAAATTAGTCAGGGATTCTGCTAGGAACAAGATAGGCAGAACAGTAATATTATCTCCATTCTGTCCTAGTTCAAATAGGACAGCAGTTCCCAACCTTTTCTATACCCTGCACTCCTAGAACGCTTCTGATGTATTCTCACACCCCTTACAAAAGTTTGAAATAATGGTGGATTTCTGGTTTGCGACGCGGATGCTGGAAGGCGAGCTCCGTCTTCCACGTCCGATTTCGCACCGCTGGGGGACACTGGAAAGGGTCAAAAGTCACCCTGTAGGGGTGACAAGCAAGGAGGGGACCCCTGCTTGATCGCGGGAGGATGGTAGCTCTTCTGCTTGATCTGGGGGCAGCGCTCCAAACCGGTGGATGAAAGATTGGCCATAGAAATATGGCCCATCACTAGGCTGCAGATAGCTGAAGTCAAACTTGCCACTAGGCACATATAAAGCAGCGCGGATGAGACTGAGTGAGATCTGAACTTCTCTTCAATCCTAACTATTTTTTCTACCCCCTGTGGAGAGAGGGAAGGGAAATTCTATCCCACCCTCTAAAAACAGTGGCAACTGACTATCCAGGGGAGTTTAAAACGCTGAAAGAATAACCTGATTCTAACTTGATTTTTATCTTTTTAAAATTTGAGAACTAAAAGATTTCTTATTTTTATTAAAGGTTTGGGTTCTTACTTACAAAAAAGAAGTAAAATTGGAAGAAGGACTATAAAAATTTTGGACTTAAGAATCTTAAATGGTATGGGCTAAACCTGATATTACAATTTGTTATTGTCTAAAAGAAACTTGGCTTGAAGCACAGACTATAGATAAGACTTTTGCAACCTTGGCAGATATCAGCTGTGAGAAGCCCAGCTGTGTTCTATACTTAGTGACAAAGTGGTAAAGCTTTTAATTTGACACACCACTAAGAGAACATGGATGAAGATCAGGAACAGATTCTCTTTATGCAATTTATGAAACTATTCTTACAGCTACTGATGAAATAAGAAGCTATAGAAAAGAACAAGATGTCAGCCTAGACATATGAACTCAAACTTTGATTACAACTAAAGAATTAACTATACAGAATATAATAGAAGAAGTAGAACAATCAAATATTGTGATAGAAGATTCAACTGATCAACAAACACAGTTAACGGAAAATCCAGAAAAGGGACTGACAACACTGAAAATGAAGACTTTCTATATAAACCAAAAGAAACCTGAAGATCAAGAAAAAGATCAGACCGAAGGGAATATAAACTTTTCAGGACAACTATGTTGAGATGGAAAAATAGAGAGACTATTTGTTAGCCCTTCCAAAAAAATGGCAACTGGATGCCTCTTTTATCTCAAACAATATGTACAATAACAGGGAGATCTATTTGATGACTTAAAAGCACGGATATGGAAGGCGAGTTGGCAAAGAAAGAAAGCTAGAATAAGGCTGAAGAAAATTGGGGTTTTATCTTATTAGTGAGGATTAAAATAGAATATACTCAAATAGACAAGATGTGTACTTTGAATACTAGATTTTGTTATGAACTGAGATAAAGAAACTTTGGTCATTTAAAACATGGAAGTATAAATATTAAAAGTTAAATTTGAATATTGGTTTGTTTATAAAACTTGAATGTAAAAGTAATTAAGATATATATAAGCTAAAAATCTATTGATAAATGTAATAAACATGTTTTTACTTAGCTGATATAATAAGAACTTTACTAGCTTAAATATGAGGTAGTAGACATTAAGAGAAAAAGAGAGGAAGTATTTGATGTTGAAACAAGAAATTTTGGTTACTAAATTCAAGACATTTGGAAATTAATAGAAAATAATGTTATACTGTGTTATTAATTAGATGGTGAGAAATAGAATATATTCAAATAGATGTGTATCCTGAATATTAGATTTTGTGATGAATTGTGATGAAGGGAACGTTGGTTACTTAAAACTTGGAAATTATAAATATTAAATGTTAAATTTAAATATTAATGGGAAACTAAAAATTGGGAAAAACTAATTAGGATATTGCTTGTCTATAAAGACTGAATGTTAAAATAACCAGGATATGTATAAGCTAAAAATTATTGATAAATGTAAGAATGTTATTTTTATTTAATTGATGTAATAAGAATTGTATTAGTTTAAACATGAGACAGAAAACACTAAGGGGAAAAGAGAGGAAATATTTAATGTGGTAGTTTGATATTTGTACTAAAGATACTTGTATGACATTGAATTATCGATTAACTCAGCCGCCACGTTGCTTTTTAAATACTTAAATGTAAAATTAGAAAATCAATAAAACACTATAAAAAAACTTTGAAATAATGGCAATGAATTATGCATATATACTATAATGTTGAAATCCCAAGTTTTCGCACCCCCCGGAATATCGTCTTAATATTCCTTTCTCTCATTCTAGCAAATCTATATATTCTCAAAAGGTAATAGTAAAGACAGTTTCAAGCTACCCATGGTAGCTTCATGAACATGTCCATATATTTTTCTTGGCAGCAATAGGCAGGGGTTTATCATTACTTTCTTCCAGGATGTTTTTGGGCTTCCCAATCTAACCTGTAAGCCTAGCTAATCTTGCTTAGCTTCTGAAGCAACAGGGAAGCTGCTACTTGCTGTGGGGACAAATAAATAAATCCAAAGTAAGCTGCAGACAACCATACATCACCAAAAGCATAAGTAGGTGTGGGATAGGGACTAACTTCTTATCTATCTCTTCTTTGGGTTTTATCAAAAATAAGTAGCTTTTTTATCAGTGGAAACTTGAAATGTTTACCTGGGACTTCCTACAACAGGAATCCTCAACTGTTTTTTATTGGTCTAATGCAGAGGAGGGGGAACTATAGCCATCACCCTTTTATACCCCTTGTGGATGTCTGTTCCTAGAATTCCCAACATGGCTGGCTCAGGAATTCTGGGAGTTGAAGTCCACGAGTCATAAAAGGACCGTAGTTCCCCATCCCTGGTCTAATAGAATGCATGGGTAGCCTTGAGGAAAAAGAAGAAAGATGCTACCTAGAAAACAATCATTCAAGAGGGGCAAGAATCGCTTAACAATCACAAAAAAGAAATTGAAAAAGGACCCATCCTAATGGATCAGGAAGTTAAAATTGTTGTGTGGGAAGTCTGTACTTTCAGATTTGTAAGATTCTGGTAATGTAGCTTTACATTAAGAGGAATTAGTTCATTTAGTCCCATTTCCTGTCTGGTTTACTTCGGAGGGCTGACAATTGGGCAGAAACGTGAGGTTCCTGGAGAATAGTTTTCTTCTAGAATTCTTGCTGACTGGGAAATTATCCAAAGAATAACATCCAAGACTTTTTGCAAGATAACATTGGTCTGGAAGCAATGTGAGAAAGAGGGTGGTTATAGATAAACTCTAAAGAGCCCTTATCACTTTAAACTGGAAAGATCTGGCTGTGGATGACAAGGTAGAGAACTTTCACCACCCAGACATTTGATAAATAGATTAGACCAAATATTCTCCTCTCCTACTTAAGTATTTTAAAAAAGTTTTTGTAGTTACTTAAATTTATGGTTACATCTATACATCAGGAACCTTAATATGTATATTGCAGGCAGTGACCCAAAGTATTTTTTTCCAAAGGTTTTGAGAGGGCAAGAAAAATGATTTTTTTTATATGTTAAAGGGGGGCATAGTGCTTTTTTAGATTATGTGGGGAATGGGGGACAAAACATCAATAGCTTCTTTGGGAGATGTGAATTTACTATTAGCAGAAGAGGTAGCCTATGATAAATGTTTTAAAACACAATAAACCAGAACCTTTTAAGTTTACAAAATGGCTCAGTGGGGACAGTGAGGCATCAATCGTATTCAACCAATCCTTGTGACATTCAGCAGTTCTCCTGACTCATGACTCCTTATGAAGCAACTTACATGCTTCTTCAAGACTTTACTTTGTGGCGAAAGGGAGAATGGAAAAACTGTCTACCGTACTATTTCACAATGATAAATCAATCTGAGATATCTATTTACAAGGACCATAAAATGCAAACGGTGGTGCTATTAATTGCTTTCACCATCCCAAAGGTGATATGTCTTTCTGAATTATTATTGCTGACCAGATATCCATAATGGGAAACAAAGAAGTACTAGGGTAAAAGTGAATTAATTCTTACATTGCCTTTTTGTGGACAAGTTATATGTCATGCCTCAGGGTCATTCAAGAATCGCAGCTTGTGACTGTCCATTAAGATCATAGTTTATTTTATATAGTGTGTCATATAATCTCATATAGGGCAAAGTTTCTAGAGATTAGGAAACACTCTACTGGGCAGTATATGCTGAGGCTTGTTTATTTCCACCTGATAAGTTACAAAACTTTTCAAAATCTTTGATGTCAAATATCATGCCATTTAAAAATAGGATAAAGAGGGTCAATTTAAATCTGTGATAAATATTTTTACACTGACTTGTTTTAAGTATAAAAGTCTGTTTCTAATCTATAAATCTTGTTACAGGTTATCCTCCCTTAATGGTCATTCAGTGACTGTTCAGAGTTACAATGGTGCTGAAAGAATGCTAGTTACAACTGGTCCTTGAAGTTATGGCCGTTGCAGCACCCCTTCGTCATGGGTGCACAACTCAGGCATTTAGCAGCCTGCATGCATTTACAACCACAGCATAGTCTTCAAGTCCTCCCTGCCTACCTCCTCCCATCTCTGCCCCTTTTGGCCACCTGCAGTCCACTGCCCTTGCTGCCTCCTGTTGGTTTTCCCCATCTTTTCCCCCTCCCACTGGTGATGAGGGGTGTGTGGCTGAGGCAGCTGCTGAACCCTTCACATGCTTGTGCTCTGCCACCCCCACCAGTGCCCCCAGGTGACTTTTGCCATCTTCTTCCTGCTTCTGATGAGATGTATCCAGCTGAGGCAGCTGCCAGCACTTTGGGAAGGTGTCACAAATGTCCAGCAGCAGCAACAGCAGCAGGAGAAGATGGCAAAGGGCAGCTAAAGGAGGTTCTGGGTATATGGCAGCAGCAGAGTGCAGGATGGCTAAAAGGGCAGAAATGGGAAGGAGATAAGTAGGGAATTGAGTCAGAGGTGAGTGCAGTAGGGCAGTGCAGTCTCATCTGCCAAAGGAAACTAATTGGTTCTGGATTGGGAGGGAGCAGTGGGACAGAGCAGGCAGTTTGCCCAGGGCAGAAGCAATATCAGGTTCTCACCTAATGACTGCAGTGAGGACTATTGAATTGCCATTGCTGAGCATGTGGTCACATGATTTTTTGCCTAATGACTGCTTCGTTTAGCAATGGAAATTCCGATCCCAACTGGGGTCATTAAGCAAGGAATTTCTGTAAATCAAGTGCAATTCTAAGGGAGTTTTTTTCCCCCTGAAAAAAGTAAATTAATACAAACATTAGTAATGTTTAGTGTATAGTCAAGAAGGCATTTTGTCTTATCTGTGATAAATTTACTTTAAAAGACAATATATTTAAATGCATAGAATGATGTTTAGAATAGAGAAAACAAATGCGACATATTGAAGGGTGTTGTAATCTAGCTAACCAAACAGCTTTTATTTATTTGTTAATTTTTTATGCCATCCATCTCTCCTACAAAGTCATTTTGGGTGGCTTGGGGCAGCTATGTCTGGAATGAATTTATTATAGGCTATTTTCACCTTTTTCTTAATCTTTTGCAACAAATAATTTAGATATCCTATGGGAACTATCAGTTCCTTCTCTTCAACATGATGTTTGTGAGAGAGAGAAAGATGGTAAAGATAATAAAGGAGGTCTCAGAAAGAAAATGGATGGTTCCAGCATTTTTTGACTATTGTTTCATCTGGGTTCACCATGCACCTTACATTCCCTGGAGGAATGCTGCTGTGGAAAAAAAGGGATTTATCACCCTGTTTTGGGTTATTGTGATAAAAGGAAATTTGTAAAGTTTTAAGTTGGATGTTTTAAATTTCTTTCATTCTGTTTTTCTTTGCAGTAATCTATTAATTGGGCAAATAGGTTAACAGACTATTCAAAAAATAATTATTTTGTCTTCTATGAGGAGCAGAGGAGTGGGTGGCCTAGCATAAGTGTGGGTGAGCAAGTGGGGGCTGCGCAATGTGGTAGGAGGACAGGTGAGCCCAGGGCCCCATGCACCCTGCAGCCTGGGGATTCCTCTGGAGAAAAAGTGGCAGGAGCACCTTCAGAAGCAACTTGTGACCTTCCCTGCTGATATTGTTTGTGGAAAACTGGCAAGGAAGATGGCAAATGTGTGTGACTGTGGGCTACTGCAGCCATCGTAAGTGCAAGCCAATCGCCATGTGCCTGAATCGTGATCCTGTGACCGTGGGAACATTGTGACATAAGGACCAGTTGTAAGTCTCCCTGCTTAGTGCCATTTTAAGCTTTGAACAGTTGTTGAATGAGTGGTCACTTGGAGAGTACCACTTGTATTATAAAGCCTAAGGTAGATGTTATCCAACAAAGTTAGTATTTTTGTTTTAAACGCTCTGTATCTCTTTTTTGTTTTTCAAGGTGATCTTTGTGACAGGATGGCTGATCAACATCAGGACTTCAGTATGACAGAGGATCATTTGGTGAGCCAAGCTAGGTGGAATCCATCAGGTGAGTCATATGGGGTGGGAAACAGGAATGTTTTATTCCACAAGATAGAAGTCAGGATAAAAAAAAAAATGAAGGGAGATTATCAATGGGAATAAACTTGAAAGTATAAATGAGCTGAGGATATAAGCTAGTCATAAATTCTAAATATCATTACATATACATACATACATACATACATACACATATATGTCAGTTGCTGCCAGACTTCGCCTTAAACTGTAAAAAGATTTGCTTTGTTACTTAAAAACAATTAGAAGTTTACATAACCAGAAAAGTGACTATAAATATGTCTTCAATTTTAGAAGAATAGTTGTTTATATCCTACAGCAAAGGAGCATGACATATTCATTTTAAACTATAGTTTAAAATATTTTTCTACTTAAAAATTATCCAGAGTGATGTTTAGAGAGCTGATGGTTTATTACAACATGAGTGTAATCTATATATAGGTGTAAGTTTTCATGGTCAGCATCTGTGTTTAGTAGATACATCTGTGAACAAACCACTACAAATAGGAAGGGTATTTCTCTCCTACATAGAGAAGGTAGGTTATACATCTCTGTCCCAGGTGAAGTGAGTGATGCTGTGGACGTTCTTCTGTGGTGCATGGAAAGCTGTGGGGGCCTAAATGGAGAACAACATATTTGGCTGAACCCTGGTAAGATGGAGTGCCTGTGGGTGAGCCTTTCTATATCCAGGAGTTTATTATTTTTGGTCTTGAATGGAGTTGCACTATTGCCAGACAGCCCTGGTGCATAATCTTGGGATCCTCCAGACGCATGACTCCTGCTTGAAGAGCAAATGGCAGTCGTGGCTAGGAAGGCCTTGATTCAATTTTGTGTTGTGTGCCAATTATTCCCTTTCTTGGATAGGGAGGCTCTTCACTAAGTCACTCGTACTCTGGTCATCTCCCATTTGGACTGTTGTGGTGCTCTCTACATGGGGCTACCCTTGAAAAGTATCCAGAAGCTTCAGCTGATAGCGGTTGCTTGGGTAATTTTAGACACCCAAATTTTAGAAGGGCGCATGTAACACCTCTGTTCAGTGAGCTGCATTGGGTGCCAGTTTGTTTCTGAGTCCAATTCAAGATGTTGATTTTGATCTACAAAGCCTTACATGGAATGGGGCCCGGCTACCAATGAAACTATCATTGCCCTATTACATTAGCCCATTCCATCAGATCAGGCAGGGGAAATATATTGCAGACCCTGTCAGTTAAAGAACTCCAATTGGCAGGGTCTAGGAAGAGAGCCTTTTGTTTCCTGCTGTTGCCCCTGCCATATGAAATATTTTTCCCCTGGAGGCGAGGCAGCACCCCTGACTTCCTGGCCTTCTGAAAAGGAGTTAAGACTTGGCTCTGCAACCTCACATGGGGAGCCCACGGAAGCAAATAGCCATGGGTATAGTTATTTCCATGAAAGCCCTCCCTTTGTTTTTAATTAATTTTAATCTCTGGCCTCCTCTTAATTTTTTTTAACTTTTATATATACTGTTTTATATTTTAGTGTTTTACTGCACACATCACCCAGAGTCCCTCTTTGAGGGAGATGGGCAATACAGAAATGTGAAAGGTAAATAAATAAATAAGGTTGCTGACCAAACAGGTAAATTATTAGAAAAGTACAACCTTAAAGCCACCTACAGGCCAATTAAGAAAATCAGAAAATCATTCAGTCAGCCAAGGACAGCAGAGAACTCTTCACAGCATTCTGTATCTATTGCATCCTCTAGCTGTGGACAGATATACATTGGTACCACAAAATGCATGAGAAGCACTGCAGACAAGGACAGTCCAAAAAAGTGATCAGTAGGAGAATATGCATTGTGTCATAAAGATAATAAAATTCAGTTCAAAGACATGCAAGTGCTGTCAATAACTTCAGACTATTATATACACCTGCATAGAGAGGCTATTGAGATCTATAAACATCCCAACAGCTTCATCGAGAAAGAAGAAAGTCTGAAAGTTAACAAAACTTGGTTATTTGTCCTGTGTCATGACAAGATCCTTCCCAAAGCAGGACTAAGCAAGAATCAATTTCCCAAAATGTTAAAATCAGATATTTTTCTGGACAAGGTCCCAATCAGGACTAACAAACCAGAAGCCAGCTCAAACAAAGAACCAATCAGGATTCAACATTCCAAAAATGGTTTATCAGAAGTTGGTTTGAACAAAGGATCAGTCGGGAACCAACACTAGCAAAATAAATCAGGATTAAACATAAAGACCCAGTCAGAGACCAGCCCTCATCAGCCTGCAGCAGTTGGAAACCAGCTTGGCCAAAATCAATCAGCAATCAGGACATCTAGCTGATGTATATTATATTCCAGAAGTCCATTGCGTATCACAATAAACATTGGAACCACTGAGTTGCCATATTTATTGTTACTTTCCAGAACAAAGTTGCTGCATCATTGCTCACTCTGTTTCCTTATTGCCCTAACTGACACATAAAATTCAAAGTGGATAATAAATTATCATGAATTTGTGAAAAAAACAGAATATTATTGAACTGAACTGAGGAAAATGACAAAATCATATAGAAATTAACAGATTTCTTTTCAAGCAGTTTTCTTCATCTTTGATTTGGCTTCAAATTTAATATTCTTTCTACCAAAGCTGCAATTAATATCTTTGTGTTAAGAATTGTGATAATGTCTTGTAAATTACACTTATCTTGTGCTGAAAAGTAGCCCTCTATTGTCTGTATTCAAAAAATGAAACTATTTTTTGTGATATTCCAGAATGCTTACATTTTTAAATGTTTACCCATCTATTTTCTGTTGCTCCCTTCAACGTTTTCTGAAATATTAACATGCTAGAGGTTTCAAATAATATACAAGCTAAGTCATCATCGAATACCATAACAGTTAAAATGTCATAATTGGATAAATTTGTTGCGGTCAATATGCTGCAGAAATTTATGCATATAGGAAAGATAAGAATTGTAGTTGAGCATTTTGCAAATAGCCAAATATATAATGTCAAAAAAAGCTTACAGATGTTCTTTATCTCTTCTACCCTCTTGTGCTTTGGAATACTTGTTTCTACAAGTATTCTGGTCACTTTTTAGGGAATTACTTACTGCTTGGTTTTATCAGCATGGGAGATATTTGTACCTTTATCTGTGAAATATGAAAATGACTTTTACTAAGTAAAGGCTGCTTGTCTCTAGAGCATAGTCTTTTATAAAGCTGCATTGGCAGTTTTATAAAAGACCTTGATATGGACAACTTTAACTGGGACCTTCCCATATACTAAAAATTCAGACTTGGAAGTAAGAATTACTTAGGCTGAAAACTGAATTTATTTCAGTTGTTTGGCAATCATTACAGGTTATATTCCTCCCTAGTGTCTATGATCTTGTTTTTTTTTAGTAATTCTAGACTTCAATAATTTTTTTCCAGGAAGAGTCTCAGTTTTCTATGCCTGAGAGATCAAATGGAGATATTTTCCCATAATATAATCTCTGATAAAATAAAATCTATGCAAGGAAGTATTCCTAGTGTTTGAAAACAGATGATGGAATTCCTCCTTTGAAAATCATTCTTTCATTCTTTCTGCATCCTGAAGACCTAGCAAGTTCTTTTATGTTAATAGCCAGCACTAAAGCTGTTTCGGTCAATTCTTTTGCTATTTTATGTTACAGAATCTTTTAGCTATGCTATGTAATGCCAATAATAGGATTTTTATCCATTGATTCAAGTCACTGGTGTCATAGACAATAAACCCAAAATAAGTCTACTTGGAAGCATTTATTTTGACTTACAATGGACATCCTTGAACCTTAGTGGAACTTGAGATCCTATTGCAAGACAAATAAACACTTGTAGGGCCTTTTTTTTCTTCAGGAGTTTTCTTGTTTGCTTCATGCATTCTCTTTATTTTCTAGGACTTTAGCAAGATTATCCAGGCTCAGTGATTTTTAACTTTCAGTCAAACCAGGCTGAAACAAGAAGAATCTGAGAAGAGCTTTTGTTCTCATTCCCCCCCCCCCCTTGCTCTCAGCGCCTGCCTTCACAGTCTCTTCACCATGGTAACAAATGGAGAATCACAGCTCCTTCACCATGGGCAATGAATTGCAACCTACTTGATTACTCTTTGCCCCATACTGAGTACTCGGTTGGATAGTGACAATTATCCTTAGATCTTGTGAGGGCAGCCACTTTTTTGGTTTAAGTAAAGTCCTCTTTGCATAGTACAGTAAGGTTCTAGTACTTGGCTGAGGTTAGCCTTAAGTATCCAAGCCCTGCGGTTCTCACAAAGGCATAGAACTTAAGGGCTGAATGATGTAAAACTTGTTCTGAAGTTCTGAGGACATTGTGCCAGCAATGATCAGTGTTTTACTCAATCACTCAAGAATATTCAGATCAGGATCTTAGTGTGAATCCTGGAAAGTTCCAGCACTGATTTGATGAGAATTTGCCCTATAAGCTGATTACTGTATAGTCTATTTCTCTTGTCTCTGGGATAACATTTATCTCTGAGGCCATCTGCTAAATACTGTGAAAAATAGGAGAGAGCCAGGAAAAATCACTTGTATTTCTTTGAATAAAATGCTTAACAAAGTAGAGAAAGACCTGGATGAACATTTCCAAACATAATGCTCCATAAACATAAACAGTGTTTATGGAAAAAACACCTAACAAATTAAGCAGAGAACTCAGTTATAGGAAGAAGATATTAGGTGCAGAATAGCAACCTACATTATGTCTATCTTTGGGAAAAGTTGAAAGAAGTGGTTGGTCATTTCTTCCCCATTCACTGATAGAAAGCCATTATCACTGCAAGAAATCTAATGTAAAATCATATTTCAGTACTTTCTCAAGCAGATTTGTAAAAGGAATTTTAAAAAACTGAACAAAATAAAATTTACCAACAGAAGCAGGTACTTCTTAACTGTTGTTGGGATTGCTTTTCAAGGCCTGACATTGCTTTTCAGCCATTATCTGACATAATTAGTAATGCTCTATTGTTTTGTCGACCTCTAGCAAATAGATTGGTGCTTAGTTCTCAATGAACTTTTAATGGAACATTCAGAGACTTTTTGGATTGTATGTGACAAAAACTTCTGATAATATGCAGTTTCAACTAAGGAAGTAGCTTCCTTTCATTGAGAACATTCAACTCTGAATATAGAGAATGATGCTATTTGTTCTGGCTGAGATGGAACTGTGTGTCTTGCCAACTTCTTTGGCTATATATGTCAAGTTGTTATAGTTGACTCAGAAAAAGGACAACATAGACTTTCATTTCATTAACTGCTGAGGAGATCAAATAAAGAATATGCAAGGGAGTAAAAATAAGAGAATGCCTTTCATCACTTAAAATGAAATGAGTATTTAAATTAAATTAGCATGCCAGGCTATAGCAAGCTATTATTGGAAAAGTGAACTTTCAGTAGTTGTGGTGCTGGGTGTACAAGCAGGCTGGTCCTGCTGCCAAGAATTATCTATGAAGAAGCACATATATCCTTATGAAGTAACTGAAGTAATGAAATAGTAAAGTGGAAAATAACATAATTTGCAAAAAGTTCTTTAGATAGGTGAGCTTTTATGTGTAGCAGCACAGAGGGCCAGTTTGGTCTAGTGGTTAATGCATTAAATTAGAACTGGAAAATCTAATCCTCCCTTAGGCGCAGAAGTTAGCTGGGTGACTTTGAGGCAGTCGTCTTCTCTCAGCCCTAGAAAGATGGCACTGCTAAAGCATCTGAAAAATATTGCCATGGAAACTACAGGAAAATGTCCATATACTTATCAGCCACTTAAGTCCTGATAACTGTATGGACATTTTCCTGCTGCCTCTTCCTTAAAGATAATCATGTAATATACCAGGCTCAGATTTATTTAGTTACAGCAAATTGCTGCCTGTTTTGCTTCAAGACTGCTGCCTTTTTACTCAATAACATACACATTTTGGGCTGATTTCAGAAATATTTTTTCTAACGGATGATATGAAAGTTGCCTTATTTTCAGTCCATTGATTTAAAAAAAAATGTTTGAAAGAAGAGACATGAAGCATAGGTGAATGAATACTTTTGTGTTCCATGTGAAGACTTCAACATGAATTTCCTTGATGAAATCATTTGCTCATTATATGAACAGAAGAAAACATTGAAAGTATTCATTTGCAAGAAAAATTTTTTGGAACAATGCTGCCAAATCATGTGATCTTTTCTTTCTTCATCAGCACTGAAAGAAATGCAAGAATTAGATGGATGTTTCAATTTTTCTGAAAATACCTAGCTTCAGTATCTATGAATGATTACAAGCTATTATAAGTTGCATGATGATCACTCAGTAAATATACTGGCCAGAATCACTTTGAAATGATTACTATCTATTGATAAAGTAGCTTTTCTTTCTCTATTCAGATCACTGCTTCTCACTTAACTGTATCAGCAGTTTGAGTCTCCTGCTGCCTGATTAATAACTAAATTCCTGTCCATTTTGAATTTTAACCTGGTATTAGACGGGAGAAAATCTATAGCCTGTCTCCTTCATTTCATACTATCATTGAGGGGAAAAGAATAAAAGTTTTCAAAAGCAATCAGCAAGAATACTTCCTCAGATTCTCCCCAGTAGATTACCTTTTATGATATTCAACAAACATCCCAGAATTTCTCATACTCCTATCCTGTTTATTCAGGTATATCTTTAAAATATCAATGAAACATTGAAGAAAAGACCACTTGGTGTCTACTCAAATGTTCATTGTCCAGGTTCAATGTTCGTTATTAATTCTTCTGACAATATTGTTTTTCTGACAAAGCCAGTAGAATCTGGCGTTTTATACATTTTCTGGATGAATAAGTACAGATCTGCTTTCATGATCCTTAGACCTATACATCAGCGATGACCAACTTGATACTAAAATACAGCCTATTGTATAAATCATTGTAGATGTTTATTTTTTTCCGTACTGATGTTCTAATATCTTTAAATGCATTATCTGCAACCAAGGCACGATGCAAGGCATTCTTATGAGGACATAATCTGTACTGAGGAAAAAGAAGAGGAAAGAAGAAGAAAAAGCTTGCTTTGCATTTGGCCTTCTTGACTTCGCTTTCATGTTTGCTACTGATTGATGCACCACACAGATCATTTGCTCTTCACTTGTAGTAGCTGTTTTGTTGCTTGGCTCTAATATCTGTGACGGGTACTACTTCCATTTCTACTGTTACTTTCTGTAGCCTTTAAGCAATCACATAAACATGCCCATTTCTTGCTCTGTGGGAATGAGCAGCCTAATTCAAAACCTTATTGCATAGCTGACTGGCCATATTTTCCAAAACTGAGCTCCTTATGCTGAGTGCTGAATGTGTGTATTTCCAGGCACTCCCCTCCATATACCAGTTGATGATGGATCTGATGAACCAGGGTCTGAAGCTTCTGATGCTAAGAGTACCCCAACTGTGGAAGGTGGGAGCTCTTTGTCTCATTACTTTGAAATTTATAGCAGCCAGCTCTTGAGTGTGTCTCTTAAAAGTGCATCAATGTGGGTCCTCCTAACAATAATGAAAGCTTTATTACATCTAGTGTTAAATGATTTTTCTTTTAGCGTTAGTTATTGCTGTGACTGAAATTATTGTGCAAAATATTAATTGTGGTCTTGTTTGCACCTTTCACAAATTAAATCCAGAGTTGTCATTAGCCAGGTATTGTTCCTCCCCCCCTAGTGCCTTCCCAAGGATTTTAAATATTCACCTTTTGAAAAAGATAATGTAGGAATTGACATTGTTTGGTTTCAGAATACCATTAAACAGAAATCTTTCATTTATACACACATTCTTTTAAGCCTATGGACGAAAGGGTAATGGGTTAGTTAGGGTTAGAATTAGGTAAATTTAGGTTCTATCTATAACTCTAGGTCATTACTAAATTAAAATTAATTTTATACCATGATTACCCTACAGACCTTTGCTATAAACACAGCAAATTATTGTAGAGTTTTACAAATAACTATTTTGCTATCTTACATTGAAAATGAAACAAGCAAACCCTCACTTTTTTATCGTTAAAAAAGCTTTCCTATCTGATGATCCAGATGTGATTGCTAAAATTATGCTGCTTGAAATGGAATTACAGTTACACAATTAGCCATGCAGAAAATAATTATTTTTATTTTGTAATTGTGCCATCTTTGTCATTTCTTTCTTTGTTTAAATCAACACATGGAAAAGTACATGCTTCAAGTGAAGTTACTATGCTCTAGAAACCTGTTGCTCTTAATTTAAATTGAGTACATTTGCTATATGAAGTTGCTTCAGTTTTCAAATATTTAGAATGTATCAATTAAGGGGCAGTTTTAACAGAAGGTAACAATCAAATCCTACTTTCAAATGCTCTGTAGTTTCCTGATTTGTGAGCCTCAAAGACAGGATTGCAGAAAAAAAATACAGATAAGCAAACTTGAAGAACTAAAATGTAGGCATGCCCTTATTAATTTACTTTGCTGCAGTAATACATAAATGATGATTACATTTTTTTATTCAAGATTATTTTTCCTCTTTTGGGCTGGAAATATTCTTGAATGTTAAAACCATTTTACACCTATAAATACTTGTTCCATTACATCTTAATTTTGGTAACACTGTTTCTATGAAATCTGGCAAGTGGAATCTTCTAAACATCACTTCTTGAAATATCACTGAATCTGTAACATAAGCAGTTCTCTAAATGTTCCTCTGTGGGCCACTAAATATAATAATTATTTTTGGTGAAAAATGCCAAGAGAGTGAACATTATAGAATATAGAAACACATTTACTCAAGCTACATCAAACAGAAATATTTTATAGACAACAGGCATTTTAATCCCTGGTATTGGAAGCATTGGTGAAGTCTCTAGAAAGAAAGAAGTCTAATCCGTAGCTGAAGAAAAATGATGGATCGGTGCAATGGTGGGATTCAGCCGGTTCACACCGGTTCAGCAAAACTGATATCTAATTTTTTGTTGAGTTCGGCAAACCGGTTATGATAAATCTGAGTCTGAGTCTCACTCCTGGCCTTCCCGTCTCCGGGTTTTTTTTCAGTCCGATACTGAGGTTTTCTCTCTCGGCTCCTCCCTTCAGCTGTTCGATCTAGCAGCTCTCATGCTCCTCTGGGTGATGGAGGAGGTTCTCCAAAGTACCGACTGAAGCTGATGCTCTGTTCTATGCCGAAGGGAGACCTCCATCACCCTGCAAGCGGAGGTAAAGGGGGGGGGGGAAACAAGTGATCCGAATGTGCTGCTCGGCAGCAGCAAGTAGAAGTAGGGGGGGAAAGCTTCCCCCCGCCTCGGCTTGCAGGGTGAGGGAGGAAGTCTCCCTTGGGCTTCTCCCACTTTATACTTTTTCGTCCTCCTTTGAACAGCCCTTCGCTCCCGATGCTGCTTTTTCAGTCCCGGATTTCGGTTTGTCCAGAGCCCGTGCAGAGGGTCTTTGGAAACGAAGCCCTGCAGCGATTGGGTGGGCTGGGAACAATTCCCTTCGCTTTTGAACCGGCTTCGAAATGGGCTGGAAGGAGCGGCCCGAGAACTCCAATCTGGCTTTGTAGCAAGCAAGAGGATTGGAGGCACGTGAATGCACTCTAGTCTGCTGTCTCAAAAACCCGGGGTTCCCCCCCCCTCGTGTTGGATTTTCACTGCCATACTGTTTAACTTTCTTTAAAGTTTACCTGATGCAGAATGCATCTTTTCTTAACTTTTTAGGGTAACTGATCTTGCTATTGTTTGGGGAGATACCTGATATTTTGTTTTACAACCAGCTTGATGATGGTGCAGTGGTTTGAATAAGATTTCTACATTTTAACTTTAAATTTCTTCCAAAGTCTGAACCTGATCTTGTTTTGATTTTATATGCACCAAATTTAAAATTGTGTTAACTTACTGACTGCTTCTCTAGCTTATCTCAGAAAATGGGAAATGATTGCTTTTGTATGACAGCTTTTTATAGCAGAATAGTCTTCAATATTCTTAATGTAACCAATCAATTTTCTTAATTCTTAAGAACCAATTTTCATAATGTAACCAATCTGCAAAAGTTTGACTTGCAGAACTTTTACTTGAAAGTTGCATCATCTTGGTATTTGTTATGAATATTACGGCTCCATTAGTAGAGGACAGAGCTTATGAGGATGGAAACTCAGCTCATCAGCATGTAGAGATGCTTGAAGGAACCACAGATGAGGCAAGTGAAGGTAGTTCAGATGTGACGTAGAGACTCTCCCTACTTAGTTTTATAATGAGTGGTAATTTTGAAGGGCACAGGCATCTGTACATTGCAGCATTCTTGACAATATGCTATAAGGCAATTTGGGGTTGAAGGCAGGAGAACAGAGGCAATATTATGAACTTCTTTATAATTTCTTGGTTCCATGCCTATTATAACCCATTTCACAATTCTATAGGTGATAATAGATTGAGGGCCTCACTGATGAATTTGGTTTTCTAGTAAGGGATCATGATCTTGGTGCAAAAACACCAAGGCCCCACTCTTCCCCTTGAATGGGTGGGCCTCATTCACTTAAACAAATTCCTTCCTGCTTTTTTTTTTCTTTTTATGGTTGTCTAAACAGCTTTGTAGAGATAATTTGCTAGAATGTAACCCTATCTCTCACTGAAATCTTAACTTAAATCATAAATTAAATCATGAAAGCTATAGGCCATGAACGGTTTTTCTAAGATCTTAAATATTCAGCTGAAGCATAAACCCCTACATATTACCCAGTTAATCTTCTTCTAGCATACTATTTTTGACATCTGCAACTTCATCAAATAAAGGGCTGTTCACTGGTATCTTCGTTTGTGAAAAATGAAGACTCTGCCTTTAGTCACTGGTAACTATCTTCATTTTTGCCCTGTGTGATTTTTATCTTGAAAATAATTCTACTTTCAAATCCATATGCAGTCAAGATTCTGTAGATCAAATCATCTGCTATTAATTGAAAGAGACATTGCCAGCTACATCTCCCTTCTCCTTAGATCCTGTCTCTGCACTGTGCTGTGAAGGCAAAACACTTAATGGTTTACCACTTATTCTGTCTTTATAGTTGGAATCATTGGTGCAAGCTCTGAATGGTATAGTGATTAATATCTGTTTATTTGACTATCTAAGTACGAATGGTGGAATTCTCTACAATCAATTCTGCTAAAATTGCTGTACAATTATCTACTAATCTATTAAGAGAAACAGGATTAACGCAAACAATTCTTTGATTCCTTCTAATTCTTCAGGGAGACTCTGATAGAGTCTTCTTTTCGTGCAAGGTCCCGAGTTATAAATGGACTACAATATGACATTTGTCTTCTGTTCATCAATTGCTTTGTATTAATTTAAACTACAACAAAAAAACATTCTTTAAATAGCCCAAAGAGATAATGTTAAAGCACTAAAAAAGAATAATGTAGTCTAAAAAGTCTGAGGAAGAGAGAAGTGCAGAACTTAACTATTTTTTGATCTATGAAATATGTAATTACACAACTACGGTGGGATCTATAAAATATTAATATTAATATACAGCTGTCACATCTGAAGGGTAGGTGAATCTTATGTCTGCTTCATTCAGAACATTTGTCAACATGAGGTTTTATACTGGAAATGTTAAATGTTCAAATGCATAAGTAGCAAATGAAGATATGCTGTCAAAGCTATAAATATGCTTCTAACCTCTTCATTAATTAGAAGGCACCTGATAATTCTTGATGTAGAACCCCATCCATAGATTCCTTTCTCTTGCCTTCTCCTTGGTTTGCCATTTTAGAAACTTTTATATGTTCATGTTACTTTATCTAACTTTAATGGGGCTTCCCATTAAACTGATGGTTATTGAATATTTTCACTTTTAAAAGATTGCATTATTGTTAGCATTTTTCCCAGGTCAAAATATTGAACATGGGTCCTATGGGATAATCATCATAATTACTTTTTACTGAGGCAAAGTGAAGTACCTTATATACCTTAACTTTTCATTAAACTAATGGTAGTTTGAACATTTGAATAATGAATCTTCTTTATCTTACTTATTATCAAGTGTGAAGGAGAACATCCTTAAGTAAGATGTTGAAAGAGCTTTTTTTTTGTATGATGTCTTTTTAAACTTTGTACATTCTTTTTATCCTATCGGGAGAACTTTTTTCTTCAATAATTTTTCAAATATAAACACATTTGGATTAGACTAGAAATCCGTGGGACTTAAGAATCATCACTAATTTATATCCCCCTGGATCTAAATATAAGCCACTCAAGATCTGTTTATTCTTATCTAGTGTGCATTATTGAACTCAGAAATCAGCCATTAACCCATTTTTTTCCTATCGAAAAAAATCCATATGAGCTGTTTCTGTAGTAGAGCTGTGCAGATTTCTTGTTCTTTTGATGTTTTTGCATCCATCTTCCTGTAGGTCATTGTGATAATCTCCTAGCTGAATTAAGCATATAGGAGAAAAGGCAGGTTGCTTATTTGTACATTTCTTCAAAATAATCTGTTTAGTCAAATAAACCATCCTATTGCAGGATTTGATAAGAACATGTAAGTTAAACTGAACAGAATAATACTGTTCTGTCCTTAACATAAAATCTTCTTACTAAGTCTGTTTAGAGGAAGGGGCTAAGTGCCAGTTTTCTGCTGGTTCGAATGCTTTTGTTTTATATAGGTGCAAAATCCATTATATAAGTTTAGCCTTAGCCTTAAAGAAGATTAGACTTTTTTATGTAGGTTCTTGACTTATGACCACAATTGAGCCCAAAATTTCTTTTGCTAAGTGAGGCAGTTAAGTGAATTTTATCCCATTTTATGACCTTATTTGCCACTATTGTTAACTGTACCACTGCAGTTGTGAATCTAGCTTCCATGTTGACTTTGCTTAGCAGATGGTTGCAAAAAGTGATTACATGAGCCCGGGACACTGCAAATGTCATAAATATGAACCAGTTGCCAACTATTTGAATTTTGATCACGTGGCTAAGGGGATGTTGCAATGGTTGTGTGAAAAACAGTCATAAACAATGTTTTTCAGTGTCCTTGTAACTTCAAACAACCACTAAACTAAGTTGAGAACTATCTGTAATCTATTTTCCTGTTTACATTTTCATGCCTTTCCTATTGATACATAAGATTATGAAATCTCTTAGACCAGGCATGTCAAACTCGTGACGTCAGGTGATGTTGCGTGACGTATCGCGACTTTTTCCCCATTGATGGCAATGGGGTGGGCGCAGTTTCAGTATGATGGATCAGGCCTGAGGGCTGGCAGTTTGACATGCCTGTCTTAGACTCTAGAGTACCCTTTGTCAGATAACAAAAGGACCAATCTTGTATCTGATTTGTGACAAAACATCTTTCAGTATTTACTTTTACGATACATTCTAGTTAGATTTATTCTTTACATGAGAAGTATAACCTGCCTTCTTTCTTTTTCTTTCTTTCTTTCTTTCTTTCTTTCTTTCTTTCTTTCTTTCTTTCTTTCTTTCTTTCTTCCTTCCTTCCTTCCTTCCTTCCTTCCTTCCTTCCTTCCTTCCTCCTCCTCCTCCTCCTCCTCCTCCTCCTCCTCCTCCTTCTTCTTCCTTCTCTCTCTCTCTCTCTCTCCTCTGTCTTTTTTTTTCTTTTCCTACCAGGTTGTTTTTTTGTGTGGGGGAGATTTTCTGGTCACGAAAGAAATCACGATCAATTATTAGATAACTTTTTTTTGGCAAATGCCTACTTTGTCTGCTGATATTAATGAAAAAATAATAGAAACAGTCCTAGTAAAAATTAAATGATGGCTGGATGGTTTCATAAGACATGTCTCATCTGGAAGCAATATACACCTAACCTTTATTTATTTTACAGAGGATTCATACAACACCATTTTTACTGTAATACCACTCCTTCCCCCTACACATTTTATTGCTTCTTCCATCAAGGGGAGAAAAAAATCTTCCAGATGTTGACTCATAAGAAATGGAAGCACTTTGATTTTAAATTTATAATAATATTGTAAGCAGCAATCTCTGGGATTCAGTGCTTAAAGATATGCTTTATTGGGAACAAATCTTCGCTACTTTATACTTTTCATCAAGAAGTGATGTTTAGAGAAAATTACAGCCAGGAATATCTTCCACTATAATTCCTTTGAAAGGAGCGAGTTCACAGAACTACTGATGTTTAAAATTGGGGAGTGGCATGACAAGAGGCACCAAAAAAAGAATTGACCTTTGTGCTGCAACTTGTATTGCTGCCCTAATGAGAACCCTGCAATCAGAAATAAAATAGAACAGTGTTTCTCAATCTCAGCAACTTTTAGATGTATAGACTTCCAACTCTCAGAATTTTATCCAGCCAGCTTTGGCAATAATAAAGTATTATATATGATATAGAGTATTGTATAGTATAGAAGTATCATTAGAGTATTATATTTCATTATATGTATTTCCGAACATATTTTATTCAAAATACATTGACAGTTTTTAATCATGCTTTCTGAAATTCCATGAATATCTGGATCAAGACTCTCCAGATAATTTTAGCAATCAAAGGAAACGTTGATTTTCTTTTTAAAATTTTCAGTTAACCCAGCTGAAGATAAGCATAGTTAAACTATATTGCAGCTGAACATGATTATGCTATATTGTTCCATGTCTATATAAAAATATACAAAAATGCCTTTGTTAAAAAAATCTGTCAAAACAAAGTTTGCATCTTCCAAAAAGCCTATAAGCTCATTGATTTCATTTAGTTTCAACATACTTAGCTGTGCAAATTAATGGTGTATTCATAAATGTTCAGATCAATACCTTTTTAGTTAAATATTTTTTGTAAACCCTGTCAGTTTTATTATATTTTTCTTCAGGTGTATGTTGTAATTGATGAATAGAATGTGATTTATTTCAGTAGAAATGTTTCTCATCAGTTTATTTCATTTTCATTTAAATGTACTGCCACACATTTCCAAATATTCACATATCATTTGAAAATACAGAAACATTTGTCTTGTTCTGTTTTTAATGTTGAAATCATTTCCCCATCTTTAATTTGGAAAATTTAGCTGAGGAAGCAGGCATAGTTTGTACTCCTAACCATGAAGACCATGCTTCGGGGGATGCTCAAGGTAAGCACAGTAAAGTTTATTTCCTATATATCTAAAAAGTACTTTGCCCCTTAGAAATTGCTGATTTAGCTTAGGCTATGTATTGTCGTAGTGTTGAGAGAGAGAGAGAGATGTAGAACAAATAAAAAAAGCACTGGACAAAGTTAATCAAAAAATAAATGTAAATAATAAGAGCAGTATAAACCTATATTATGAACAGCATAGCTTCTGCCATTCATTATTTCAACTCACCTTTCCAAATTCTTGGCCAGTTAGAGACACAGTTGAATTTTGTGTTCCCTAATTGATAGGTTTCACTTTCAGTTTGGTTTTATGGAATGAATTGTTTTTTGGGAGGAACAACACCTGAACTAAAAGCAACCATGTCTACAAAATGTACTTGCTTCTTTGTTTTATTAACTGCAGTGTATGCCTGAACCTGGACAGATTGTTAAGTCTTAGCTGTGGTTAATTGAAACTAATTACATCATAGTTTAAACATTTGAGTTATTTCATCAAAACATAATTGACTTTAATTGTACAGTAGGACCACACTGGTCAAGTGAAATTGGAAAGAAAAACATCATCCTTGTGCTCACAATCACAAAGGAGAAGAAATAACATACATCTGAAGTTTTTGGAGGTAGTGATAAGCCACAGTTGATCATTACAGTTAAATGAGTTCATTATATTTACCCCCTGTGTCAGTGCTCTCTTAGAATTTTGGCTACCCATCTTGAAAATGATTGTCGACAACAAGAAGGAAAATGTTAGATGATGATTTAGATCACATTGTCTGAAGCTGTGAATCATGTCACAAAATAAATAAAAAAGTAAACTGTGCTTCACAGAGATAAAGTGGTAAATGCCATAACAGATTAATAGTTACAGCTATTAAAAATATGTTTCCAATATCTAGAAAATAATCCTGCTATATTAGTGCTACCAACTTTGATTGGTTAATTGTTTTAAAAAAATAAAGATGCTGGACGTATCAAATAAAGAGGTGCTTTATGGGCATATTCAAAATTTATCATTTCAAAATAATTATAATAGTTTTAATTTTGTAATAATGGAAATAATTGTATTAAGACAATTGTATAAAGATAGATCCCTTGATTTTTACATTCTTCTTTATATTCGAAATAGTTCAAATTAATAAAGTCTTACAACTTTTTTAGGCTCAACAAATAATCTTTTAGATTAAAGAGATGTTGGTTATATTAAGTACTACTGTAGCACTCAGTTTTTCTTCATGAAATAATCATTTCCCCAAGTTTGTAAGTGATTGTAAATACTTCTGGGTATGTGTTATGTGCATGAATATCTTCCTACCTCTTTGTCATAATAATGCTTTGTGTTACTATGTTATTACTTGGAGTGAGTGGAAATAATTCATGATGATGATGATGATGTAAATGAGATAAAAATAAGGACACTATACCCCCCACACCCAACCTTATTTAGGAAGCAGCTTACTTAATTGAAAATAGAGCTTTCCATATATTTCTTGCAGATTTTTCTTTTAGGTTGATCCATAGTCTAGACCAGAGGTGGGCAACCTTGGCTCTTTTATGATTCGTGGACTTCAACTCCCAGAATTCCTGAGCCAGCCAAGCTGGCTCAAGAATTCTGGGAGTTGAAGTCCACGAGTCATAAAAGAGCCTGGTCTAGACTATTAGGAGATAAAGAAATATTGCATAGAAAGAAAGAAAAAGAGAAAGATAGTATTGAGCTTTCATACACAGCCTCATTGCCAGTGAGGGCTGGAAAATAGAGAGGCCAGACAGAGGCTGTCAAGAATTGATAAAATGTGAACCAGTCTTCCTGCCCTCCAGGTGCCCAAAAAAGATACAGAAACTGAATCAGCAATTTGTCCAGTTTTTGATCAAGATCAGGGTTGGGAACAGCTGTGATGTTATGCTGTTTTAGGTCTTGTTCCACAAAAAGAAAGCCAGAAAGATATACAAATATACAGAAGCAGTAAATTGATTCAGAAATTAAAAGTCCAAATAGATCCAAGAATTTAAACAGTAAAGAAAAGAGAGCAAGTGTTATGGTTCATGCAATGAAGAGTTGGAACACAGGACATTATTTGGTTCAAGAAGCCAAAGTAGCCAATTGTACCGATTCATGGATAATAGAAATTGTATTCAGCAATGAGCCACTGTGCCCTCAAGTTGATCTTCCATAGTCTTGGCTCTTTGAATTTTTTGGCCAGGATAGACATTGCTCAGATGTGTTTGAGGGAAAGCACCCAGTTTGAACAAAGGTATACTAGAGGCTATACCTGTACTTGTTTTGTCCTTTCCCCGTTGATGTTCATTAATTTTTGTCTAATTGTGAAGTCATTAAAGCATGTAGGGCTTAAGTAAGCCTTCATCGCCAGGGTGTCTCCACTAGAAGTTAATATTCCTCTCTACCTTCTGATATTCAGTGCTGGGCCATTCTCTTGAGGAAGGGATTGTGTTAAATCTAGCGCAGAAGAATCCTTAGCACATTGCTATAGACAATGACAAGAAAAGATAAGTGAGGATAAAAATAATCTCATCTAGACACTGTCTGCACCTGAAAAAATATTTTAAAGATTTTGGGAAAGGTCAGAAAAGATGTTTATAAGCTGTAGAACAGATTGCTTACAGGACAGACAAAAAATGGCCACTTAGTTTTTCAGACATTTGTCAAAAAGGAAATTTACCATTTGGAAACTTCAGCGGGTGCAGAATGTGGTTGCACAGGTAGTAAATGATGCCAGATACACGGCATACATAACACCAGTTTTGTGTGAGTTGCATTGGCTACTGGTGTGTTTCCAAATACAATTCAAGATGTTGGTAATTACCCTTAAAGTCCTACATGGTTTGGGACCAGGATACATGAGTCTCTACCTCTCCAACCAGATTTTGCCGCATAGGCATGCTGTAGATCCCGCCAGCAAAAGAGTGTTGGCTGGCAGGGACTAGAAGACAGTCTTTCCATCCTTCCTTCAGATATTAGAACGGCCCCAACACTGTTAGCCTTTCATAAAACCCTAAAAACCTGACTATGTTCTCAAGCCTGAGCCATGGAATGTGTTAAGGGCCTCATTTCCCGATTGTATTGCTATCAGGCCAAGTATCTTGGCTGCTATGTATATTGTTTTTATTCTTTTAAAATGTTTTTAGTATTTTGATTGTAATATGTTTTTCGAATTGTATACCACCCAGAGTCATTGACTGAGATGGATGGCTATAGAAATTGAATGAATGGATGAGTGAGTGAGTGAATGAATGAATGAATGAATAAAATGAATGAAAGAAAGAAATTTGCAGTCATCCATTGTTAAGGGAGAAGACAAGCTTCTACTTTCCAATACAATGCTACTAATATTAATAGTTATAATATAATTCTGCATGTTCCAATGCAGTCATATAGCCTTTTCACATTTTCCAAAACAGATCTTTGTTTGATTTCTCTCTGCTCATCAAAGGCCTATAGGGGAAAATAATGAGAACAAAAATTGCTGCATTTTTGAGAAGGGACTGAGCAGAAAATGACATATGAAAAGTCTTAAGACGAGGTAGGGTAAAATGCCTGCTTTTATTTTAATGCTGGCAGATGTTTTTTCAGCTCTAAAAGCACAAAACTAATTCTATAACCATTAAAATTACCTTATACAGGTAAGCAAAACTATGTTTTATAGAATAGACCAAATATAATTCTATATTTTCCCTTGGCACAATATGGCTTTTTGTGAGTCCTATTTCTTTTAGCCATATAGTCCATTCTGCTCCCCACTAAGCCTTACTTAATTGTTTTGGGATTGTTTGGGGTTTTTTCTCCCTATTTTGAGTCAAGGATAAAACATTTTTAAAACTGGCATCTATCAGTCAGACCATTTTTATAAGGTGCACTCTAAACCTCTGGACAACTATTTATTTCACTTAGTAGTAGACTATGTAAATTGAGCTACTGGATCCCAAACTTATTGAGAAGTATTAACCGAATACAGAAAATGTTTGAGCCTTTGAATAATTTAGTTTTTAAGAGAGCACTATTTAGTTGTCAGGTGTATACTGGAGAAAATGATTTTTCTTCTCTTCCTCAACTTTTCCCAATTTATTATTTTTTCTAAAGAATTGAGAATCTAGTCAAATAATACCCCACCTTTAATTCAAATCTTGAATTAAAAATTTGGACCTGGACTGGTATTTTATAGATATTAAATCTTAAGCAACAATTAATTAAAGAAAACAGAATAAACTGTAGACAGAAATTCCATTCTCTAATATTGAACTCTAAAATAGACTAAAGCTTTACATTAATATTATAAATCTATTATTTTATATTATAAAATATTGTATACTAAGAAAGTTCTGCAAAATACATTAGTTTGGATTTACTTTCACTATATTATAATGCATATAATGCAAACAGCTAATGAACCTTCTTTGTTACAGTGGTAGAATTAAATATGTGTACTATTCTCATCTGTGAAACACAACTTGGTAAATTTAAACTGAGTTAAGTTATTCCTTTAGTAATCAGCAGTAGGGTTATTTTCTAAGTTTGGTTCAGCTGCATAAAAAAAATCTTGAATTACAAATGGTCTAAAATAATCTGTCTGCAATGAAATTGGCTTAAACATTGTGAAATCTTTTGATGTAAAACCACTGGTTAGATTAGATGAGTGAACCACAAAAACTTTATTTCCTGAAATCCAGCCGATTCCTTGAACCAAGATACAGCATGAAGGCAGTAGCCCTTTTCTAACAATGGCTGCCCTATTAAATGCTCTACCAAGCTAATAAGGCTTTACCATAAGATCCAGACTGGCCCAGAGGAGGCAAAGCTATTGAGAATAATTATGCTTGTGAAACATCATGATTCCCCCCCCCCAAACCTCCTTTATTATCCCAATTATATGCTTCTGACTGTGCATAGGTTTTTTTATACAGAGAAGGAAGACTACTCTAATGTAAAATGGAATATCTTCAAACTGCTTTGCTCTCTTTTCAAGGAGTTACAAGCAGATAAAGCATTACATCCATTTGTATTAAAAAAATGACAAGATACTGATAGGTGCTCCATTGCTATAGTCATTAAAGACACAAAGTGATCTTGCCAGCTCTTGACATCACTTTGCAAACAGAGCTTCACACAAAAACATTGGAGGAGTTGCCAAAAATGGTTTCAGTTGGTTGGGAACACAGTATTTTGTGTTCTCAATACAGCTGGCTTGATTTTTGCTGTTTTTTTTTAAATTATTTTCCGGAGTATTTAATGTTAGACAAAGCATGCTTGCTGTTTGCATTAAAATGAGAAAGGAGAATTGCTTGTGATAGTTGCCCAAATAGTTTATTATATTCCAAATTTATCTTATAATTTATTGCTTCACTTATCTCTCCCAGAAAGCATACTAAGTATAGGACTTTCCCTTTTATTTCAGCTCACATTGACAGCCGAGATAAAAATGAAATTGGGACTGAAGAACTAAAACCAAAGGTAAGCTGACAAGTAGATTATCATAGGTATTCTTTTTCCCCTTTTGTTCCCCTCTCATGAAACATTTTTCTTCTTAGAGCAGGCTAAGGAAAAAATGTATTTTTGGTATTTGATTATCCAGAAAGTTGTTTTGAAATGTGGATACTTTCTCCAGTTCTACTATTAACTCATCTGAATTCCCCTCTCTCCCCCTTTGAAAAGAAGTTCATAATCTGAAACAAGAATCTCTTAAAAACAAATTGTTTTCCTATGCATCAAAATGGCCATTTTTATTTTCTAAACAACAAAGTGCTGCTGTAGTTTAACCTACCACTGTAATTAGTATGGGCCGGGATAGAACAAGCTGGACAGGACATATAATAAAGAATATTGTACAGTTTTTTTCTTCTGTACAGGTGATTTCATGACTTGTCTTGTGATTGAAATTTGCAAAGTAGTTTTTTTAACCTTAGTACAATTAGGAATAATAGAATCTGCTTATATAGTGCTCAAAAGGAGGACAGGTTTTATAGACACATAACAGCCCAGACAAGAACCATGACTGGAAGAGCTGCAGTCTTGTATTAGCTGAATTATTTAACACTTGTTTTTTTAAATTTTATAGTTCTAAAATGTCCCTATTAAAATTAGTTTTCCTCTTAACTATCAAACATTTGCTGATCATGTAATTACTAGAATGAACCAAATGTCTATTTCAACAATAATATTGCAATGATTTGCCCCAGAAAATTTTTCTGAAATTAGCATAGGTACAAAAGGAAAATCATTCAGACACATTATATGAGCCACATTAATAAATGTAAAAAACCTCTGGCTGTTTATTAGTTTTGTTGTGGAATGGAGAGAAATATCATCTTGCTTATAATTGTGCAACCTTATAATGATAATTAATAGCACGGAGATAATTAGAACATTTGAAAATTTACTGTAATTTGATAAATACTTGCAGATTCTGAGATGTTCATTGTAAAAGTGAGATGTTCCTTAAATATGGGTAAGGGGCTGGGATATATGTCTTTGTTATGTTTTTGTAGTCAGGAGAAAATAATAGTTTCATTTAACTTTTAGTTTGATTCCAGCATGGTTAACTCAGCAGTCATTCTTATTTTATTTTAACCATCTTCTTTTTACGTTTATTGCTTCCCCCCCTTTCCACGCTAACCCTTGATTTGATTTTATTTGTTTTAAAGACATCTATACCTTCCTCTATCAAAATCTCGCAAGGTAGATCTTCCATTACCCCCAAACGCAACTCCTCTATTAGTTCTATCCCCTTGAAAAAACCCTCCAGTCCTTCCAAGTCCTTCTCTTCCACCCCTAAATGCATCTCTTCTATCGCCTCCCGATCAACCAGTACAGGAATAAAAGAAAAAAACAGCAAGGTAAGGAATTACTTTAAAAGAAAAGCAGGGGAGAAGGGAGGGAGCATTATTTCATTCCTATTTGAATTTGCCACTTGGTTTATAAACTTATATTCAGTGTTACTGAGTCTGCTGTTGGCTGGAGGCTGAAGATTATTTTTCACTAGATTATGTCACATTTAGTAACCTCTTGCTAATACAAACTCTCTGCCATTTGAGTGACTAGGCTAGCATTGACCACCAACTGAATTTAGAAATACTTCTTGACATTTTCTTGACATAGTTAAATAATGCCTTAAATTCATTTGAAGCCAAGGAAGCTGCTATTTAGTAACTGCCAGTTATGCTCTTCAGTGGGAATTTGTTGTTTGAGCAAATTGGCAATTGCCAAGCTTCGCAGTAAAGACGTAGAATGAAAAAAAGGCTGATAGATCTTTTTGAAACTAGCTTCTCTAATTATGCCCAAATTTGATTTAATGTTGCTTAGGTTTTTCAAAAGTCGAGAAAATAATGTCACCCTCAACTATAGAGAGCCAATAATCATACTGTCATCTGTTTCTAGGTTTCCGATTTCAGTGTTGCAGGAAAAAAAAAAACCCTACGGAATTAATGTAGAGAATGGATATATTGCAGCCTGTTAGACCTCATCAAGTTGATTCGGTTTAGGTACATTGATTCCCTCTAAGAACGATTAGTGGTTTCTCTCACAAGTTTATTAATTAAAGAGGAAAAAGCAAATAAAACATTTTGTACTCAGAAAGCATAAAATGCAAATGTAATATCATAGTAAGTACATACAATATTAAGTGAAAACTTACTTATTTAGAAGACTTGGACTGAAAACCACGTAAAGATAGGAGGCATTTTAGCTATTTTTTGTTCTTTTTTAAAAACTTCATTAGCAGTACAGTAACTCTTCCCTTTCTTAATGTATCTTCAGGGTCCAGATATGAAAAGTGCATCGAAGATAGCAGCCCCACGCTCTGCTGCGGCCCAGAATCAGAAGAGCCCAGCCAGTGTGTCTCGGATCCCTTCAAAAACTCCCACTGTTCCTAAGACACCACCGAGCCTCAGTAAGAGAAGAAATTTATGTGTTCATTTTGTTACACATAGAGGAAAAAGAAAAAATGATCCTTTGGTTTATTGGAATCATTTTTATATGTAAATATATGAAATTAATTTTATGGTGGTTTCTCGGGAAAATATACATTCTTCAAGACACCCTTGACAATTCATGTGACTGAAAATATGCTGTTGGAAAGATCTTCAAAATGGGAGGTTATCTTGGAAAGGGTTAAAGGTACCACAGTTGAATCAGTATTATAAGGGACTTCCTCATGGCCTGTGTCATTCCGCTCACCAAACACTCAGAGCTTTCTTACAATGACTGCAGCCATTGCAGGAAAAATCAGAGCTGACTTATGCTTCTTCCAACTAATCTATCAAATAGTGAATTGTAGAAATTAGCCCTTGCTTAGAGCCTGGCTGCATTTGTTAACAGCACGGAAAGAAACCACTCTCAAACAGTAAATACAGATGATATTGTTGGGAAAAGCTTTCCATAGGTCTTTGCAAGACATCTAATCAAAGAGGGGTCAAATTGTCACATGGAAACCTCTTTAATGACAGTGGTTTCAAGTGATACATTTATCATGGCAAGTAGGATGTTTCTAAACCAGACTTATATTTTACAGTGTCAGACACTAAATGTGAAGGTAACCAGTTTCTGCTTTCCCAATTAAAAAGGAAAAGACAAGTTGTTGTATGATCAATAATGCTGGAAGATACCTTTATAGAAGCATATGCACTCTTTTATTTCCACAATCAGAATAAATTTGTCAAAATAATTTCTGAGAGCAATCCTGAGATGCAGCTGCTTTAAGGAGATGAGGACAAATGCTGCATTAGTGCTCTCATGTGCACCAGTGCATCACTTTCCCCTTGAAACTGAAATGCTGCACAGCCCTTATGGGTAATGAAGTTCAGTAATCATAAGATTTCTCTCAATATAATGCAATCTACAGATCTTAGTGACTTCCATAATGTTTGGCAATCACTTTATTATTTTCATTTATTTCAGTGCCGAGAATGACACCACTAATTTGTAGTAGTTATTCTAATGTATCGCTAAGATCTGAAAAGACACTAAAAGTCATGGTTCAGTGAAGGAATATTTTTGTTCTTTCAGCTGCTAAAAAGGAGCAGAGAAGGCCCCCTAGCACAGCAGCAAAATCTGAGAGAGGTAATATATATATATATATATATTATTATTATTTAGTTCCTTCTTTATTCTTAAAGAATCCTAAAATACTTTTCAGGCATTTATCTAAAAATTCTGTTGATTCTGAATATTGATACTAATGTTTCAGCTGGTGTATGAGACATTATTATGGAGTGAAAACTTTTGTGTTCAGCCTTTCAGTTGGAATGACAAGAGATGTCTATGTGAAGACAGTATGAAATATATTTTGTAGAAGCATAGACACTTGGGCAAAATGATAATGTAGTTTAAATATATAAATTAAATTGGCTGATATAGCATCATGGGTGAGCGTTAGTTCAACTGGCATTTACCTACAATTAAAATAGTGAATATTGTCATCGTTCCTGGAAAAGGGAGTACGGATGGGGCCCCCAGCCCGGTGCAAAATGACAGGCAAAGAGCACAGTACTGGATATTCATCTGAGTGTCTGGATGGGTGCATACAGAAAGGGACAGCAGGCCATGAGGTATCCTGGCTTAAACAAGCTGACATTTTCAGTTTTTAGAAATTAAATTGATGTCAACATGCAGACTTAGTGCCAGCTGGATTTCAAATAACAACATGTGTCTAATAGTAGTTCTATATGGTGAATTGAGCTAAGAATAGTTGTTATATATATATTGATACCTATATATTGAAACATATACATACATACACACCTACACACATCTCTTCATTTTTCTTAATTATTTTGTTAAGCACTAAATGTTTAAATGTTAAATGTCTGGCTCAGTAGAACTGAGCAAATGTGATATCTGGCTATTATTACACACAGGACTGACTCATTTAACACAATCCATCATAACTAAAACTTCAAAATCCACATTATTGAACAACTCAGGTGAAAGTAGAATAATAAGACTGTTGCGAGTCAAATAAAAAATACAATGTGTTTCTTGAATATTATATCACAGTACGGTAGGGATAGCAGGAATATCAGAGCATGCAATACTGGATCAGTGAAATGTAGGATTTTCTGGATATTTATAAAGCCGATATTTGCTGCACTAACAATGTGGTTCCACTTAAAATTTCCAAATAAATAAACAGTGGGATGCAATTAACAATTAAGTTTATTCATTTATTTCCACTGTTTCTTTTCATTCATAGTCAATAATATGCAGACAATTTGCAATCTATGTCATAAAAATAATATCATTTATTACAAATAATGTAAAATTAGGGTGTTAGGGTATTAGGTTATATTAGGGTATATTAGGGTTAATGCTAAACAGATGGCAGGCAAAAGGCAAATATTAATCTCCAAAGTCTTGTTGGAACAGATACAATGTGACAATTTGACTAAATTATTTGGGCTCAAAAATGTTCTTAGTTTATCAGAATATAAAAATACAAAGGAAAATAAAAATAATGGAAACTAGGGGAGGGGAGAGTGTAGAGTAGAAAGGGATAAAGGAAAAATAGGATGTTGACTTCCAACTCTTTAGCACAGTAGAAGAGAATAACATTAAAATCTCAACTTTTCATACAATAATATATACCAGCCATTTCTGTAACAACACACATATCTAATCCACAAAGTTTTATTTTTCCATTACAAGCACAAAATCCAGAAGCGGTTTCCAGATAAAAACAAAATTGGATATGTTCTTTTCTTTGAATAAAGGAATCAATTTAACCATCTCTACTTTGTTTTTTTTCCTGTGGAAAATATTATATTTCTATTTGCACATATTAATCTTTATAAATTATCATCATTTATATTAGTAAAATTCACTGTAATCTTTCAGATTCTTTAATCATAAACTTATTTACATCCATGTTAAAACTCTAAACTTTTGTTTAAAAATATTTGTAAAATCAATAAATTCTAATACATCTTTTTTTCACTTCCTCATAACAGATTGTTTTCAAATATACTTTAAATATTTTACAAATTTTAGGAATTACTCTAGTATTATAGATAAAGGAAAAAAAATTTCAAACCTACTTTACATTAAAAAATTTTTTAATTACATATATCAAACTGGTAAAAATCCAACCTAACTCCAATTAACTAATTAAATTTAAGTTGCTCCTTCCCACTTTTCTTTGTAAAATAAAATCTTTTTCTTCTCTGGAATGTCGATCAAGTTATTATCTTTTTATACTTATCTTTCTCAAGAAATTCTCAAGCTTGTTAGTATCCATAAAGAAAAAGTCCCAAACTTATCCTCTTGGAAGTTGCAGATTTTCTTGGAACTCTTCTTTCAATTGTGCTGGAAGGTTTACATTTAAATCATCGTCATAATAAAGATTTGGGTCAGATTTATATTCCAGAGTTGTGGTTGGATCCTTTGCTACTTGTGAAATTCTCAGCTACTTGTGAAATTTCCTCAATCATTTGATATTTTTGTACACATAGTTTCATCTCTGAAGTAGTTTGAGTAGTTTTTATAACATCCTTAGAACATAACTGATCTATAAAATGAATAATGCTTTTCTTTAAGAATTTTTCAAACAATATCTAATAATTTGCTCAAATCCATGCTCCATCTTCTGAACTCCCTCTTGTGGTCAAAGAGTAATTTTTTTGTAAATCACTTAAGAATTGCTGGCCAGAGTTCATGAATATTGGAAAGTTTTAGCCACTCACAACAAAGCAAACCAAGTTACAAATTACTTAAAAATAGTAAAATAAAAACCAAAACTTTCTACCTTTATGTTTTCCATGAAAGTTAAAAATAAAAACACTCCATGCTTCCTTATTTTAGCTTGCCATCAGCAGCTGTCTTTCTTATTGTTTAACAATAAAGAAGTCCCCAAAATGGAGCAGATCTTCAAAAAGAAGTAACAGGCTGTGGCTGAAGAGAGCCTCTTTTAACTCAATAAAGACAATAATCCCTAAAAGTGTTTAAGAAATGAAAGGCACAATTGATTATCTGTTTGAAAAATAAATTTCAGAATGGCTGCTTTTTTCAACAATAAAGTGATTGCAGCCCCCCACAGCTATAAAGCTCAGCAGCTTACTTGGAAGCACAGCTCCTGAAGCTACTTGCAGACTGTTACTACTGTGTTTCTCTGAAAATTAGACCTACCCCGAAAATAAGACCTACCCTGATTTTTTGGGGTGGGCCTAATATAAGCCCTACCTCAAAAATAAGCCCTAGTTAGGACCCCACCCACTCTGTCCCACCTTGTTGCCGCAATGGGGCAGGAAAGCGTATGTTGCGCCACTGCCGCCACAACTAGGTGAGGCAGGTGGGGGGAGGGTTGGAGCTGCCCCACGTGCCCCGCAGCCGCTTATTTCAGGGCCCCTCAGCCAGTCATTCCTGCTCAGTAACCTTCCATTTCACTCCCCTCCCAAGCTGGACTGCCATCCTACGGAGAATGGGCGGGGTAGGCCCGGTCCCTCTCTGCCATTTCGGAGCCAGGGGGAGTGACAGCGAAAGCCTCCGCTGCCACTGTGCGCTGCTGGAGAGGCTTTCTTCGAGCTTCATTGCACAGGTCACTTGCCTGGTAGCAGCCACCTCCTCCACCAACTGTCCTATGGCTTGCGCTGTGACCGGGCAGCACAAGACTCCCCTGCTGCCTCCCTCCACCAGCCCTCTGTCGCTGCCACTGGAGAGAAGGGAGAACAGGGAGGGGAGCAACTCTATGCAGCGATGCAGAGCAGAGAAGAGTACTTGCTTGCCACCCTGCATCGCCCCACTTCTCCCTTCTCCAGTTTGGAAATGGCAGCCCTGTTTCCTACTGCTTCTCTTCTGGCGCTGCTGTAGAGTTTGGCACACCATTGCCCAGTTCCTCCCTCTTCCTGAAAGCATTTCTTCATTAACCTGTTTTCCAGCTCTGGCGCGTTTTTCTCCTGCAGCAGGGAAATGGAGTTTGTGGGACTAAAAAAAATACAGTCAGACCTTCCAATGTCTTGTGGGAAAAATAAGATCTCGCGAGAAGTTGGAAGGTCTGACTGGTGGAGGGAGGTGGCAGGGGAGGCTTGTGCTGCCCGGTCAAGGCACAAGTTACGGGAGAGATGGCAGAGGAGAAGGAGGTGGCGGTTGCTTCCCGGCAGGTGATCTGTGGGGTGAAGCATGAAGAAAGCCCCTCCAGCAGTGCACAGCAGCAGCGGAGACTTTCATCATCACTCTCCACTGGCTCTGAAATGGCGGAGGGGGACCAGACCTATCCCGCCCATCCTCCATAGCTTGGGAGGGGAATGAAAGGGAAGGTCCGGCTCGGGAGGGGAATGAAAGGGAAGGTCGCTGAGCAAGGAATGGCCTGGCTGGGGGGGTGACGTAAGCAGGTGTGGGGTGCAAGGGGTAGTTCCATCTCTTCCCCCACTTTCTCATAGTGGCAGTAGCGCAATGTGCTGCACAGCCTCCTGTTGCGAGTGGCCACAGCAGAAGTGGGCCTACTGGACATGGCTGTAGGTGCCGCCGTGGTGAGGCAAGGCAGGTGTCACAAAAAATATAAGACATCCCCCGAAAACAAGACCTAATGCCTTTTTGGGAGGCAAAAATAATATAAGGTCGGGTCTTACTTTCGGGAAAACACAGTATGTGGAGGATCTTGTGATTCTAGGACTCTCCCTAATCTAGGAGAGTCATATAAGCTAAAGAAATGTTGATTCCTTATTTAGCAAGTTGAAAAAGCGACAATCAAGAGAAAACCCCTTCAAGGAACTCCCGGAAGCACTCCCAGGGTATATTTTCAGTTGGCCATCTTCACTGTAAGTCTGAAGATTACTAAATTAAGACCAATAGGAACTTGGGAGAAACTTACTCTAGAAGGTTGGAACATCTACATTTTATTTTGTTATTTGGACTTTGCAAGCACTGAAAAAGACACAATCTCTAATTTGTTACTTCCATAGTGGAAATATTTGAATGTAGTTTAATTTAACATACTGTATTCCGGGTTTACTGAAAATGCATAATCAGCTAGCAGTGATGATATTACCTAATTTAGTAATGAAATGTCTGCAAGAAATCCAAGCACCGAAGACCCCACCAATTTGTTAATTACAATGCAATTATAACAGAGTAGTACATTTGCAGTGACACAATGGCATAATGAAATTATTACTCAGAAGAACACACTGTTTATATTGTTGGATGTGGACTACATTCTGCAATAACAATTTTTATGGGTGCAAAATAGCTTAATAGAACCATACAGCATTACCTTCTTGATGTTATGTGGATATTTCATGCTTATTGAATAGTAGGAAATAAAATTTAGAATCAGCACTTAAAATCCGTTCAATCTCAAACTGTAGGTGAGCCAACCAAGTCTGGAGAAAGAAGTGGGTACAGCAGTCCTGGATCTCCAGGAACCCCCGGCAGTCGCTCTCGCACACCTTCCTTGCCAACTCCACCAAACAGGGAGCCCAAGAAGGTTGCAGTGGTTCGTACACCACCAAAATCTCCTTCTTCTGCCAAGAGCCGCTTGCAGACAGCTCCGGTCCCCATGCCGGACCTGAAGAATATCAAGTCCAAAATTGGTTCTACTGACAACTTAAAGCATCAACCTGGGGGTGGAAAGGTAAAGCTTACATGGTTTATATTTCTGTGGAAACAGATATGCAGGCCAGCTTTAGTAGAGGGTGTATCTTTCTCTCTTTGCCATCCCAGCATTGCATTCCCTGCTGGTGAGACTTTCTCAGCTTTATGAGCTACCTTCACCTGGCAGAATACAAACACTCAAAATTTGATGATGTAGTAGCCCATGTATGTGAGATGATTGGTTAGGTAATATTGACATTACTGAAAAGATATGTGTTCATAACATTAACAGAGGGATAGAATTAAGATCACGTGAAGTATTACTACCACTTTACAATGCCTTGGTAAGACCACACTTGGAATACTGCATCCAGTTTTGGTCACCATAATGTAAAAAAGATGCTGAGACTCTAGAAAGAGTACAGAGAAGAGCAACAAAGATGATTAGGAGACTGGAGGCTAAAGCATATAAGGAACGGTTGCTGGAATTGGGATGTCTAGTTTAATGAAGAGAAGGACGAGGGGGGACATGATAGCAGTGTTCCAGTATCTCAGGGGCTACCACAAAGAAGAGGGAGTGAAGCTATTTTCCAAGAAGCAATGGGTGAAAACTAATCAAGGAGAGAAGCAACCTAGAACTAAAGCAGTGGTTCTCAACCTGTGGGTCGGGACCCCATTTGGGGTCAAATGACTATTTCACGGGGGTCACCAAACCATGCTGTCCGCCATTTTTTTCCCTTTTCCCTAGCTGTCCTACTCCCTCTTATTGGTGGCCACACCCACTTGGGGGTCACCACAACATGGGGAACTGTATTATGGGGTCATGGCATTAGAAAGGTTGAGAATCACTGAACTAAAGAGAAACTTCCTGACAGTTAGAACAATTAACCAGTGGAACAACCTGCCTCCAGAGGTGGTGAATGCTCCAACACTGGAAGTTTTTAAGAAGAGACTGGATGGCCATTTGTCTGAAATGGTATAGGGTTTCCTGCCTGAGCAGGGGGTTGGACCAGATGACCTCCAAGGTCCCTTCCAACTTTTTATTATTATTATTATTATTTGCTAAGGATTCCTTCTAAATTAGAAAATACATAGGAACTGAGTAGGTACAAAGCAGTGAAGCGAATGGAACATACGTTGCTCTGATTAGAACATATGCCATTAAAGCTATGTGTGGAAGCACTAATCACAGCAGCAACAAGACAGCACTATATACATCACATGTGAAGATCCTGCTCCTCCCAAAATTATACTGAAGAATAATTCAATAATTCAGTCTCTATCTGACTGTATTGGCTGAGGTTACTGAGAATTAAAGATCAGCAGGATCTTGAATGGAGCAGGTGTCTCATCTTGCCCATAAAGTAGGTGTGTTCTAGCAAGGAAGTCTGATAAGACATAGAGTGGTTTTTATATAGGAAGGTCATTTTATTGCTAGAATATTAAGAACAAATAATACTTGATTTCAGCCCAGGTATGTTATAGTCCTGCCCTCTGAATCTCTCTCTCTCTCTCTCTAATGTTATATTTTGATGATGTTACTAGCAGGGACAGAGAAACCTTTTTTTTCTGATTCTAATAACCAGGCTCATTAACACCCTACTTGAAATGTTCATCATCATGCCATTATGTTAAAAGATATGTTTTTTTTTAAATCAGGCAATCAAAACAAGACAAAGTATTTAGAATTTAGAAGTAACAGAATTCCCTATTTAATGATCTTCTTCTTCCTCCTCCTCCTCCTCCTCCTCCTCCTCCTCCTCCTCCTCCTCCTCCTCTTCTTCTTCTTCTTCTTCTTCTTCTTCTTCTTCTTCTTCTTCTTCTTCTTCTTCTTCTTCTTCTTCTTCTTTTTCTTCTTCTTCTTCTTCTTCTTTTTCTTCTTCCTCTTCTTCCTCTTCCTCTTCCTCTTCTTCATCAATCTCTGGGAGTTAGTAATTTCTGTCCATAAGCAATCCAATTCAGCCTTCCCCCTTAAATTCTGTTGACACTTATCAAGAGCCAATATAAGCTGACCATTAGTTGACTAGATTAATGTCAGGTATGAAGAATGAGGACCACATGTTAAGTTCCAGTTAAGAAGATTTATTACTTATGCCTATTTATTTATTAAATTTATTTCCTGTCTATCCCACTGAAGGGCTACCCTACATGGCTTACAACAGTAAAAATGAAGAAATGAAAAGAGTGTAAAAAGAACAGATGTTCTTCTCCTACCCAATACTCCATTTTGCCTTATTGATAATTCCAGTTTTACAACATTGTTTCCTGAACACTAACTGAAGTCAAAGCATGTACATTTGATCTTTCTATCAGATGTCCTTCAGAGACAACTTAGGCCAGTTTACACCACTTTTTTTTTTTTCATGTTCACCATTGCTACATCATAGGAGAGTTGGGGAGCTAATTATAACAGACAGAAATTCCACTCTTGTTAGCCTACTTCCCAGAAGACCATATAGTACGTATTATTTCCCTCAAACTTACTGTATTCATTTATGTTATTTGTACTGTAGTCTTTGGTTTCTGTCAATATGGAAAATTCTTTCTATTTCAAACTTGACCTTTGGAACCAATTGATTCAGAATTTCAATTGAACAGGAAAAGAGAAATATGCTTCCGCTGAATATGCTACATCTGATTCTAAAAGCTTGTAGCTGATATTTCATCCCTTCTTATTTGTAGTGGTTCATTTGATAGGGTCAGGATTCTGAGAATCCTGCTAATCCATTTGCACCTAAAATCACAACTCACAGTGGTCTACCATCTCTATGGTCCAGCTACTTTTGAAATGGGTCCTAATTTCAGCCAGATCTGTCTCCAGACCTGAATTTTTACCCCGTGTCCCAGTTTATTTTTTCTAGCATTTTTCATCAGAAGTTTAAAGAATCTTAAAGTCTCTCTACCTTGACTTGACTTTTCTATCTCAGATAAAATGTTATTACTGTAGTTTGTAATTTTTCCGCTATATCAAATTCAGATTATATTTTTTCTGCTTCATTTTTTACACCTAAGAAAGACTTACTAGCTTTTTCTCAACAGTTTTGTAGTTTAACCAGTCTGTAATAAAAGCTTGTCATTGTCCTATAGCTACTTCTTTAAGTGTTTCTTTCTCCTGTTCTTCTCCTGACTTTTGCAGAATCGGCCACAGTCAAAAACATTGCATAGTACTTCATCTGATTATTTGGATGATGCTTCTTGATGATACTTAATTTTTGTTCTGTCTTAAGAGATCCATTCTGCCTGCAGATACTGTAAACATATTTGCCAAGTGTACCTCTACTAGTCAGAGGCCAAAAATAAGTTGGAGAAGTTGAGCTTACCAATAATTGCCGCTCCTTGGATGGTGATTTGTAGATTCATTCACTTACCACCATTCCTTCTCCATGCTGTCTCAGAGTACAGAAGCGGTGAATGCTCCAACACTGGAAGTTTTTAAGAAGCGACTGGACAGCCATTTGTCTGAAATGGTATAGGGTTTCCTGCCTGAGCAGGGGGTTGGACTAGATCAGGGCTTTTCAACCTTTTCATCCATTGTACCACTTTTACGATATGGCAACATCCGAGTACCACCAGTCACCTAGCAAAGTGTCAAAAACTTGATGACCAAAAAAAAAAAAAAAAAAAGGAAAAAGGTACAGGTAGTCCTTGACTTACAACAGTTCGCTTAGTGACTGCTCGAGGTTAAAATGGCACTGAAAAAAGTGCCCCCCAAGCCACAGCTGAGCAAGACACCTGCCTGCTCACCCGGCGGCGCTCTTCCTCCTGTCCGAGGTTTTCATTGTTGTGAGCATTTCTGATGAGGATTGGCAGTGGGGGTGGAGTGGGGGGGGTGTTTGGTTTTTATTCCCCCCATCTGCTGGGTGGTTGCAGCAGGTTTTGGTCACTTCACATTGTGGGACACTGTGACTGTCATAAATATGAATCAGTTGCCAAGCATCTGAATGTAAATCATAAGACCCTGGAAATGCTGCAACATTCCAGCTGATCGGTGCTTCTTCTGGGCTCAGCAGAAGCATCAGGATCAGCACTGAGCTTCAGCTGGAGCCTGGCCCCTATCCTGACACTTCCACTGAGCCTTGACAGCCCCGAAGAAGCACTGATCCTGGCGCTTCCGCTGAGCCCTCACATCCCTGCAGCTCCAGCCATCTGTTGCTCAGGCTTGTGTGATGTTGACACCGGTTCAGCTCATTCCCCTCCCCCGCTACTTTTCTAGGATGGTTGCGTACCATCTGCCAGGTGCCAATGTACCACAGATGGTACCCGTACCACTGGTTGAAAAGCCCTGGACTAGATGATCTCCAAGATATCTTCCAACTACTACTACTACTACTACTACTACTACTACTACTACTACTACTACTACTACTACTACTACTTCTTCTTCTTCTTCTTCTTCTTCTTCTTCTTCTTCTTCTTCTTCTTCTTCTTCTTCTCCTCCTCCTCCTCCTCCTCCTCCTCCTCCTCATTATTATTATTATTATTATTATTATTATTATTATTATTATTATTACTGAGAGGAAAGAGGAAAAAAGGTTATTGTTAACAGAAGTAGCAATAGTATGTAGTTTGCTCAATGCTTCTTTTAGTGTTATTTAAAAAGACCAATGTTGATTATCTGGTCCCCATGGCAGATGCTGACTTGATTGTTTGAATAACTGTATCATGCCCAGGAAACCATGGCATGGATACCAGCAGGATGTACAACTAGTTTCAGAAGAAGATTCAGTTCCCACTCTGAAAGTGCTTTGTCTGCTTCCTTTTATTTTATTCCCATTCTCACAAAATCCAGCTATTCAAAAATCTTTTAAGATAGCTTATACATAATATATGTGCAATAAAAAGTATGATCCTCACTGTCTTCGTAAAGGTAAGGTGTGAGTGGGCCAATTGATCTCGGATGGCAAATATTTCCACAAAATAGAGGCTGCCACAGGAAAAGTATGCTTCTTTACAACTATTTGTCTCATAACCCAAATGTAAGGGAAGAAACAGGAGCATTCCTTTTTACTGTTAACGGGAAGCAAGTGATCCCCAAAATTATCTTGACCTAAGCTATGTAGAATTTAATTAACAGCAGTTTGACTCATATCAAGAAACAAATGGGCATTTACTGCAGCACCAGTGTAGATTGGCTAAAGTGACTCTCACTGCAGAGAGATGCAGTGGTTACAACCCCCACATTTTTGTCCTGACAAGGTCATCCACTAGAGTGACCAATATTATTTCAGTTCCACATCCAGATCTGAAGCCTGAAAAGACAGAAATGGATCAAAATAATTTGTTTCATCCAGAATTCTCTGTAATACAGGGGTTCTCAACCTTGGCAACTTTAAGACTTGTGGACTTCAATTCCCAGAATTCCTCAGCCAGCTTTGCTGGCTGAGAAATTCTGAGAGTTGAAGTCCACAAGTCTTAAAGTTGCCAAGATTGAGAACCCCTGCTGTAATATATGCTCCGTGGATTCTTCAAAATGTTTTCCCAACAAGTTGTATATTGGGGGATATCCAAAATGGCAGGATCCAGGGATGATTTTTCAGTCTAATAAAAACTTTCATTTGATTTCAGCTTTCACTCTGCAGACACAAGCCATCTTCATATGGTGGGTATACTTACCCAATTACACTTGTCATGCTAAAATTGCACGTCATATACCAGCCCTGAATATTTTTTCAAGTCCAATAAGCAAGAATGCAGAAACAAACTGAAAATAGGCATATTTAGCAAGAGAAGTCTGCTTCGTGTTTTTTTTTTCCAGTTTCATCAGTATGTTACAATGTTGGTTTTCCTTGTGCTGATCAAAGATATATCCAGTGAGTCGTGGGATATCCAGGTATTTGCTTGTGGGGGCCACAGAGCCCCACATTGATATTAAAAGTTACACTAAATTTGGCATAGTACTGACGAAATATGTAAATTACTCTTCAACTTATACAAATACTTTGTAAGTATTAATTTAAAGCTTGCTTTCCAGTTGCTCACTTCTGCAGAGCTGAAATGTGTGGTTTCATTTGTTAAACCAAGTCGCTGAAAAATGCCTTGGAGAAATTTTCTGTTTCTTCTTTCTTCTAAGTTTACTGTTATACATAGAGAAACCCTTTGCACTGTATCTTTGGCTGGCAGTAGGTGTCACTTACGTTCTTTTTCTGACTATCAAAGGTGCAGGTGGTTAATAAGAAGCTGGACTTTAGCCATGTCCAATCCAGGTGTGGATCAAAGGATAATGTCAAACATATCCCAGGAGGAGGCAGTGTGAGTACCTTCACACCATTCAATGCACTATAATAAAATAACTTATTATTAGTGGCATGAATTCTGCATTAATCCCAAAATGCCAATGCTGCTTGCTCAGCCAGCCAGCCAGCCATTGGTAACACACTTAAATATAACATATATAAATTAACCTCCTACTAGGAAAGATATGGCTTGATTAAACCTCCAGCAGAGTCTGTGTGTGGCAATATGTGCAGAATTAATTGGCTATTTTTCACAAATAATACTGTAAGGTAATCATTTTTAATTGCATAGTTTTCAGGCTTCTGGTCAATGTGTTGTCCGGTTCAGTTAGGGAAAGAGGAAGACGTTAACAAAAGATAAAAATCTAGAAATTTGATGAACAATATGTGCTTTTCTGGAGGACTCGTGAAAATGTTATGCATAGTCATGGTAAATCAGATGTTCTGCATCTGAAACATATTTTTTTTTCTTTTCTTTTTAAAGGATAAGCATGTTCCCTTAACCCAGAATGTGCAATTAAGCACATTATCGTTTACATTTACAGGGGTTTTTTTTACATGATTTGTTTTGCTTCTATAATTGGTGATTTTTAAAGCATGAGGAATGTAGAAAAAGTAGAATTTAGTGTCAGATGTTGTATGGAATCAATAGACTGGGTCATTGGATCTGTGGCAAATCAGGCCTCACCTGTTAAGAATAGTGTTTCAGTGTAGAAATTAATGCTCTCTGGGACAACATAACTTGTTAGGGGCTCAAGCAAGCCAATTCATTCTTACTATCTCTTCCCATAATATCCCTTATTTAGTTATACTGAGTATAAAATTTCCAGAGACTTACTAGTGAGGTAGTGGAGAGAAAAATATATCTTCTACCTACCTATCTATCTTTACCAAATCTCAGGATTTTGCTGGACTATGATAGTAATTTTTCTCATTTCTTGATAGCCCTGCTCCATTTCTTAATTTATTTTTATAAGAAATGAAGAGACAGATGGCTTATGAATCTTGTTGGCTAATCAAAAACAGATCTATCCAATATTGAATTTTGAGCCTTCACCAGATGCTAAAAACTGTGTATTTCTGTACTTCTTCTGCAAGCAAAGGTGCTTCCAGATTAGGCTTTTATGGTACTACTGTCACTCATAGAATTTTAGGGGGAATTCAGAGTATGTATTTATATGTGTAGCTCTCCTTAATATTCTCACCACTTTTCCCTCCCCTCCCACCCTGCCGTTTATCAATTCTCAAGAGGTAAGTTGATAAATGCATTTTATTTGTTGCAATAAGCTTTGTCTGGAAGCACCTTAAGAATGCCAGGTTTTGGTTTTTTTTTTACAATTTGGAGTGATCTTTATCCTGAGATTCTGAATTTAATCTTCCAACTCAAAGTTTTAGGGCATATGTGCATGGCACTTGAAATACACATTTAATAGCACGTTTTGTAAAAGAAAAAAATTAATTTACTAATTAAACTTGCATTGTTTGCATTATTAGTCTGTTTACTAGTTTGTCTTTTCAAGAACACTATTTGCATGATGTTGTATTTGTACAATGTTCTCTGTTTCTGTGTTTTATCAGCTGACATATTTGTGACATTTGTCTGCAGTGGAGAAAATGATCTTAATAGTTGGCATTTTAAAAATAATTATTAAAAATTTCAAAAAGATAGCTCTGGATAAAAATTTAATGAAAACATACAAGGTGTCCTTGGATTAGTGTCATGCTTTTAATGTATGTATCTGCACTCTCTAATTCAGAGACTGAAAAGTATATAAGCAAAAGTGTACAATTTCTAAGAGGGATTTTGGTTAATATTATGTAGTTCAGGAGTCCTCAACCTTGGCAACTTTAAGACTTGTGGACTTCAACTCCCAGAATTCCTCAGCCAGCAAAGCTGGCTGAGGAATTCTGGGAATTGAAGTCCACAAGTCTTAAAGTTGCCAAGGTTGAAAACCCCTGATGTAGTTCATGAATACTTAAAAGTAGGCTGCATAAAATAACAATGAACAAGGCACCTTTTTTCCTAGGTCCTATCTTTTTTATCCTAGCATAGTGATGTCTGGCTCATTTGTATGCCTTACAGGCCTGCAATTCCTCCTCAGACACTATTTCTCCCTTAGGATTCTATTTTCTCCATCAGGATGGATGTAGACTCCACTGATTGGGTAATTTAATCCCACCTGCTCAGACTAAGACAAAAAAACTCTGCCACGCCTCCTTCTGGGTGTGACTTCCCAGTTTTTGTCTTAGTCTCGTGCTCAGCAAGACGCTTTTCAGAAGGCTCCTAGCTAAGTTTGATTCTTTCCTTTTTTCTTTTAGGCTATTCAATTAAAATTGGATACTTTAAATTCAAATTGATTAACAATTAGATTAATTCGGCTTTCACTTCCAAATTAAGAGGATTGCGTTGGGGGGGATAGGGACTCTGTCCTCCCTCCCCTGCAGCCCTTTGGGCTTTGAAAAGGAGGCTGCAGGCTTCGTTCGTTAGGGAGCTCTCGTTCCGACGATCTGTAGCCTCTTTGCGATTCCGCCAATTCAGCTGGGTAGCGGAGGTCGGCCTTTCAACTTGGAGACCTCCTGAGTGATTTACTTGCTTCGAGGCCTTGAGGGAGAATTCCTGACTGCAGCTTTATCTGGATCGCAGCAGGGGCTGCGCTACTAATCGCAAGTGCTTGGGGACTGGGGGAGGAATCCCAAATCAGCCTTGTATTCCCCTGCTGTGTAATTGATTCTCCTGTTTAAAATACGACAGGGTTTTGCTTCTCCAGGCCTTAAGGCCTGGCGGCCGCCATTTTGACCGCATGGTCTAGCGCGGCTGCTTCTAGAGGTCCCACGTGGCGGACGCCATTTTGGAGGCCTAATTGAAATTTTTGCATAATCATTGGCAGTTATTCCTGCATTATTGCGGACGCATAGTTGTTGCCTGTGTCACTTGGTCTGTGAGCAGACCTGTTCAGGGGGGGGAGATATTTTTGTATCCACAGGAGTTGTGGTCAAACTTGAGGGGGCTACTCCAGGTGTGGGCCTTGGCTGCATTTGAGCAGACCAAGGTGTTATTAACTGGTCCTAAGGCCTAGAAGAGAAGAGCGAAGAGATTCTTTTATTGTCCACCTGTTTCTCAGTTTAGCCCGTGACCTTTTGTCACAAGGCCTGTTCAGACAGCATTAGAACACTGTCTGGCTGTTCTTGCCATTGCCTTCTGTTCAGAGCAAGGATCGGTTTTCCATCTCTGACTGTGATCTGCGTGTTGGGTTCCTCCCCCCATTTCTAGGTACTACTGTCCAGGAATACCTAGACAGCAATGGCAGACAGCTCCTCGCCCCAGGCTTCTCAATCTAGTGTCCCCCCCCCCGCTCAAGCAAAGCGCAGATCTGAAGAATTGAACATGGGGGGGAAGAAAAAAGCTAAAACCAAACATCTGTCTTCCAAAGATACTTCCAAATCAGCCGGGCGAGAGGCCACAAGGAGACACTTAGCATTGGAGAGAGAATTCTCCAAGGCACAAAGGCTCAGATCCAGTGGGACTGAAACGGTTTCCCCCGCCCCACTGGATACTCCTTTGACAGAACCTCAATTTGAATCATCTCAGGATGCCCTAAGACCTTGGTCTCCTCGGGGGGAAACCGAGCAGGTAGGTCCTCCTCGCTCCTCTCCTTCATCAGCACACCAACCACCTGAGACCAGGTGTGCCTCAACGGAGGTTGGGGTCAGTTCCAGGGACCAAGGGGAAATGTGGTCCCAGGCTCAATTCCAGGCCTTCATGCACCAAGTATTCAGACAGTTTATGTCATCAACTGAGAGTAGCCAGGTGCAGTCCCATCCTACTCCTCCCGCATCTATTCCCCCACCTCTGGTGGAGCGTGATACTAGACCTAGCTCTGCTGTTTCGGAGACATCCTCACAATTAGGGGAGGAGGGATCAGTGGAACTGGGAGTTGCAGACACTCCCTTGTCTGAGGAGGAGGATCCAGCTCCTGAACAGGTGACCTCTTCCGGGCTTTTCGATCCGGCCATTTTTCGATCACTCCTCGTAAGGGCTATTGACACGGTAAAACTTACCTCAGCCCAGGAGGAGACTCCTTCTTCCTCATCCAACCGGGAAGCCAACCCTCTGTTTGCGGAAAAGGTCAAGGAGGAACCGCAGATTCCATGCCCACTAGTCTTCAGGTCTACGGTGGAAAAGCAGTGGGCATCCCTTGCTACCACTCCTTCACAGAGCAGTTTAGACAAGAAACTTTACAATGTCTCTTCTTCTTTCGCTTCTCTTCTAGAAGTCCCATCTGTAGACGCTCCGCTGACCTCTCTGTTCTCCAATACCGCCGTCCCGGGGGACATGGCTGAATTCTTGAAGGCAGAGGACAAAAAGTTCGAGTTCTCTTTTCGTAGAGCTCACCAATCTTCGGCTTGGGCCATAAGGGCGGCAACCTCATCCTCCTTCTTTGCACGCTCGGCAATTATGTGGTTGCAGGAACTCCAGACGCTCATTCCGCCGGATCAGGTCAGAGCGCACCAAACAATAGGGAAAATAGTGGCAGCATCCGAATACATTGCGGATGCATCCTTACACTCGGCTAGATGTTCAGCCAGATCCATTGCAGCCTCAGTGGCGTCACGTAGGCTGCTCTGGTTGAAGCAATGGCGCACGGATTTAAAGGCAAAGTGGCGCTTAGCAACATCTAGGTACAGTGGCACCCACCTTTTTGGTCCGGTCCTAGAGCCTCACATCATTGAGGGCAAGGACAAGCGCAAGGCGCTGGCCCATCCCTCTAAAAAACCAGATAGACGGCCCCAACAGGACTTCCGTAGGCCATCATTCCGTCCCAGCGGTTCCTGGGATTGGAGACAGCCCTTTCGGGCAGGGCAGTCCTGGGATTGGCCCAGAGGCTCGCGATCCTATTCTTTCAGACAGGATCGGCAACAGGACCGCCAGAGTAGTGCAGCCAGGGGTCAGTTCCAGACCAAGCGTCCCTTCAGGGGATCAGGCAGTCGTCCTTACAGGCGGTCCAAGTGACGCCA